CTGCTGTATATTTGGAGTTTGCGTGTCTCTCTCTATCTACCCGGGGTCGCGTGGATTTCTCTCCGGGTCCTCCGATGTTTCCCTCATTTAGAATCAACGTCACGCGTTCAGAATATTTGGCTGCTGCTATAAGTTTCCACGTGATGATGATGATGATAAGCCACTTCGTTGAGCTATCATTTTCGATCGCCAGGTCGATTCTGAAAAGTTTAGGTGTCTATCGTTACAATGCAAGGTCCTACAGCCAGGCTCACAGCCACACACACTGTGAATACAGCCAGGACACACACACTGTTAATACACCCAGGACACACACACTGTGAATACAGCCAGGACACACACACTGTGAATACACCCAGGACACACACACACTGTTAATACAGCCAGGACACACACACTGTGAATACACCCAGAACACACACACTGTCAATACAGCCAGGACACACACTGTTAATACAGCCAGGACATACACACTGTGAATACAGCCAGGACACACACACTGTTAATACAGCCAGGACACACACACACACTGTGAATACAGCCAGGACACACACACTGTCAATACAGCCAGGACACACACACACTGTGAATACAGCCAGGACACAACCACTGTGACTACAGCCAGGACACACACTGTTAATACACCCAGGACACACACACTGTGCATACAGCCAGGACACACACACTGTCAATACAGCCAGGACACACTGTGAATACAGCCAGGACACACACACTGTGAATACAGCCAGGACACACACACTGTGAATACAGCCAGGACACACACACTGTTAATACAGCCAGGACACACACACTGTTAATACAGCCAGGACACACACACACTGTCAATACAGTGTGTGTGTGTCCTGTTAATACGAATGAGCTTTGCCTCGTGATTGAAACATGAGGGCGGGGCAGGCATCTCCGTCAACTCAACCTCACGGAAGCCAACGACCCAACCACCAAAGTAATAGAGCAGGTTGGAGTACCTTTCGAAAGCTGAACTTAACACGTCAAGGTGAACGTCACCACGATGAACCTTAATTGGGGGCGAGCTGTTAAATCAGTGTCGTGTGTTACGACACAGCTCAGAAGACAAAGGCACCTGACAATTTTTTTAAAAAAATTGCAGTGCAAAAATCTGAAACTTGCACGGGGAAAGCATGAAGGAGCACGTCCAAGGAATGTTAATGAGTGGTTCTGTGAGATCCGCTTCCACGGGCCCATTCCCTCTCGCACGACTGGGATTATGGGAACCCCGCTGTGCGACAGTGGATTCTTAATCTCGCCGCGACGCCGATAGGGGAATCGTGATGAAGTCGAGGTGGAAAAAGACAACGTCAATATAACTCCATAACAGAGGTTTTTTTTTGTGGGGGGGGGGGGGGGGTAGATCGCGTAAATATATAAATGTGTTGTTAAACCCGCCACCACCCGACTCGGGTCAACTTGTCAGGGTTGTCACGTCGGGTTGGTCGCGAAAGCCTACGTGTTAAATCAATACCCCCCCCCCCGCCCGCTCGCCGACTCGTTTAACTATAATTTACTAAACAAAGATGAATAAGCAACGTGTAATTAGTTTTGACGCAGGGCAGGCAGAACGCTCCAAGCTCGCCGTGCCGACACGCGGCTGTCTCGCGCTTCGCCGTCTCATGTTGAGCGGCCACGATTTGTAAAAAAATTAAAAAGCGAAGTCTCGTGCTCGGGGTTTTTAGTTTAAAACGAAACAACAACATTTGTTGTGTTTTCGCCACTGCGCTCGGTGAGCGAAAGGTCGCGGGGTTTCATGCGCGGGGTTTGCGCGACCTCGTCACACACGCCCGGCGGGAGTGGTTGGGGTGGTTGGGGGTGTTTGGGGGGTTGGTGGTGGTAGGGGATGGTGGTGGGGGGTGATGGTGGTGGGGGGTGGTGGTTGGGGGGATGGTGGTGGGGGGTGATGGTGGAGGGTGGTGGTAGGGGGTGGTGGTTGGGGGGGATGGTGGTAGGTGGGGGGTGATTGGGGGGTGATGTTTTGCAGGTGGTGGTGGTTTAGGGGGGGTGGTGGAGGGTGGTGGTGGGTGGTGGTGGTGGGTGCTGGTGGGTGGTTGGTGGGTGGGTGATGGGGGTGGTAGGTGGGGGGTGGTGGGGGTGGCTGGGTAGGTGATGTTTTGCAGGTGGTGGTGGGTAGTGGGGGTGGTGGAGGGTGGTGGTGGGTGGGTGCTGGTGGGTGGGTGCTGGTGGTGGTGTAAATGAATGGGCGTGCGAATCGCCCAGCAAGCTCCCACACCGGATTCGAGGGGTCGCGGCCCCACACCGATGTCCCCCCCCCTCCTGCGACACAAACAACCGCCCGGACCAGCGGCACGGTTACGTTTGAGAGCGAGGGGGAAAGGCCCTGGGGGCTGGTGGAGTTTTGGTTGGTGGGGTGGGGACCTTATTTGTATATTTAATTCCTTCCCTTGTATTGTTTTACCACCACCCACAATCAATGCCAAACATTCCATCGCTATCCTTCTTTTACTAATACGATTACTGACTAACGCGCGGCTAATGCAGGGTGCTTCAAAACAATGCTCACACTTACATGGGACTGCCGTTTTTAATGGAAATAGATACTGCTACGCCGTAACGTGATAACAAATGTAATGTTCATGGCTTCAAAAAGTCAAAGAGTCTCTCCACTCGTTCGCCATCGTTGTCAACACGTGGCACGGAATCTTCTCTCGGTAGCCTCCAGAGCCCGGCGGCACATTTCTCGATGTGTTGTTGCAAATTCTCAAAAGTGTTCACATTTTTTTAAAGCACCCCGTATTAAAACTATTAGTCTTTGATTCTTTCGGTAAAGTCACGTAGAAAGAATAAATAAATAAATAATAGCATACGCCGTTTCGATTGCAACACAAGTAATCGTCATCAGGTACGAATGAATGATGAAAATAATGCAATACAACACAGAGAGTCGGCTGACACAACGATCAACACCTTACCTGGTTGATTACGTCCTTCCAAAGATTACTAAATTTGAGAGAGAGACAAAACACAGGCACGCAGACACATAGACACAAGCAGAGAGAGAGACAACACAGATCCCCCATATAGCCTTAACAGACTGTAGGGGCAAGTGCTGTTAGCGAGCACCTATTAAGGCCGGAACGGTACACGAGGGGGTGGGTGGCCAGCACCACGCCCGACCGCCTTTGTCTCCCTAGTGGCAATGTTTACACACCGCACCAGGTACTCATTTGAGGCTGAGTCGACCTAGGGGAGGCCCGGGACCGGTTCAGATAATCGTCATTGGTGTTGGCCGTGAGCGGGAATCGAACCCGGGTCGTCAGGTTCACAGCGCAGCGCGCTAACCGCTACACTATCGCTGAGAGACATAGAGAGACATACACATCGGCACACAGAGAAACAACGCCTCAGTCTTATTTTAGGCGTGTAAAGTCCACTGGACTGTAGATCTCTTTTTCGGAAGTGACGCTGGCCATCACAAATGATAGCGCAACGGAAGCAGCTTTTTATCATCATCATAAACACGTGACGTTGATTCTAAATGTAAAGGGGAAACATCGGAGAATCCAGAGAAAAATCCACGCGACCACGGGGGGAGAGAGAGACGCAAACTCCAAATATACAGCAGCAGCAGGCGTCAGGATCGGGATTGAATACACGACCTCCTGCATACCAGGCGAGGTCATTAACATCTCCTAGCCACCGTGGTGCCTTATTGATGTAGAGAATAACAACTGTCATTTTCCATTGGGGCGGCTGAACCAGGCGATTGCATCTGGGCCAGGGAGTAGCAGAGTGGAGCATCGCTGTGACGATGCCTCCTCCTCATCCTTCGTGTGTGCAAGTCGGGCATTGGAGTCGTCTTGCGCTCCGTGGCTCTGTTCGGGCCGGCCAAGGTCTTTGCACACTGCGACTGCGTCACTGAGTTTGCGCGTCTGCTGCTGCTGCTGCCGCGGTGTGTACGTTACACGTGTGTACGTTGAACTTCTTTCGCACCTTACGCAGCCAACCGTGCTTATCGGAGGTGCGGGGGGAGGGACAACAGACTAAACGCAAGAAGCAGTACCAAAGGAATGCGCCTTCAATCTTGATGATTTAAAACTGCATAGCTCCAACGGCTTCCTAATGTCGGAGGGAAGAGCGTTCCAGACGGCCGCATGAGCGCCACGCGATGCGGTGACCGCCACCGCCTTTGTCCGATGGGAAGCCAAAGCCGCTACCGCCGCTGCTGCTGCTGGGGATGAGCGGTTTGTGTGCAATGGATGATGCGCAGGGGCAGGGGTTGTGGCCCCAGAAGCTTCGCTGACGATGGAAGCGAGGGTAATCTCTTTTGCGGGGGAGGCGTTCGTAACTTCATCTCGGCTATTATTCACCTTGCTTCTTTCAGTTGAGTTTTTTAAAAAATCTTTCTAAAGCTGACGGAGGAATAGCAAATCTAAATTGACGTAAAAAGAAACAGCGGTATAATTTTCGGCGCATGACTGGGTAAATTTAAAAAAAACCTTTCGAGGTGAATTCCTGCTGCTCAAATGAGCATTGAGGCAACGCTCATCTCCTGTCTACAGCCCTGGGGCCAGTGGTGGAAATTCCACGTTACTATGGCGGGGGCGAGTCGCTCCATCAGACAAGCACCGTTGACTTCATCGCAACAGTGGTACTTATTTTATCCACCCTGGAGGGATGACCGGGCTGCAGGATTTGAGTCTTTCCATGGGACAAACATTTCATAATGATCAGCCACGGCCGATCCACTGCTGGATGAAGGCCTCCCCCCCACCACCACCTCCCCAAACCGTCGCGAGCTCTCCCCGCCGCCGTGCGTTGGGGCAGTCCGTCGCGCTGACGAGCACGCCGGCTGATTTCACCGCTCCGTCCCAGGCGCGTTTTGAGCCGTCGCTTGCATTGCTGGTTTGAGGTGAGCCCTGGAAAATGATTAAAGGGTGGCCCCAACAGTCAGGACCACATTGGGTTATTCCATTTATTTTCAGACTGGCTTTAAAAAAAAAAACACATTTTTTTATTGTTCATTCTGTAAGTTATTTTTATTGATTGATTATCATTATTAATTGCCATACGTGTCTTCTTACTTCTCAGACGACACATTTACTCAACTCGACCAAGAACCCTGAATGCATTGAGACAAAACACAATTGTTGAATGTTCACAGATCACACACCTGTAATGTTTTATATATATAATAAAAGTTCTCAATGAGTTTTAAAAGATAATTCATGCATTCGTGTTTATGGAATTCTGTTTGAACATTAGTTAAGATAAATGAGATAACCCTCTATCATCTTCTTGTTGAACTTCTTTCGCACCGTACGCAAGCCAGCCCGTGATATGCAACACAATAAATAAATACACGGTAACATTTCGGCCTGTAAACAGGCTCCGCATGGTCTTACACGTGGAGACAACAACGGGGGGAGCTTGTTAACGGTTGACGGCGATACACTGGGACACCCCCCTCCATCACTCCACCACCCCTGAGTTGATTCCCGTGATTATAATTCCCGTAATAATTATTGTCCAGTGTTGATAACGGCAAATTCTGTAATTATCCTGAATCCCTTTCCCACTGGCATAATCGAGCTGAGCCAAGACGGTGCCCTTCAACCGTCCCGGGCGGTTTTTTTTCCAACTCCATATTTTGCCGTGCCGAGCCAGAACCGAAGCACGCTCGGCCCGGCCTCACAAGGCAGACGTCTTGAATCTTGCTGGGAGGAGGGAGGGGGGGGGGGCAAGCAGAGCCAGGGGGCGGGGCTAACGACGAGTTCAGAGTTCATCACGCGTGACGTCAGGGGAACGGCTCGGCTTTGGCAGTGATACAAAAAAACCAACCCGGTTAGAAGAGCTTTATAGTTCATCGGATTCCTCCAGTATAAATACATATTCGGATTCTGGCTCGGCACAGCCCCCGGCACGGTTTGGTTGTGCAGTGGGAAAAAAAAGAGGTAGTGGTGTCTCTTGGTGTTGAGGTATTTCTTTGTTTCAACTTCACTGGCAAACTACTAAAACATGGCTTCATCAAGCACTCAACAAACCTCAATAAACTTCCAAAATAAGTATCGGTCGCAGGGAGGCGGGAGAAGGGAGGCGGGAAGGAGGAAGGAGCGAGGAAGAGGAGGAGGGAGGAGGAGGCTGCCGTCAATCGCCGACCGAGGCAGCCCGGTGCCAAGCGTTTTGTTCACGTGACGTCAAAGTCACCGCAGGGGGGGGCCCACTTCCACGCTTTTGGACGCTTCACCAGCGTGTTGGTGAATCACCAGCACAGTTGACGGTTCCAAGAAGGTACCAGCACGACCCGTTCCGTTCAGACCGTTTGCTCGACGGCTCACGCTGGCGCGAGGCGCGGCCGCATCGGTGGCCAGCCTTTCCTGGGGGGGGCGGCCGCCAAAGGCGGGCCGCTCACTCACTTCCGGTTTTTCTGCGTCACGTGGGGCAGAGGCCGCCGCGCCCTTTCTCGCTCCGCTGCTGGACGAGCTGCAGGAGCTCGGCCCGGGTCAGCCTGAATCCGCCCACCTCCAGCGCGGCCGGCTCGAGGCTGCTGTAGGCGCTGTCCGTTTCTCCATCGCCGCCGCCGCCGCCACCGCTCGGATCCGGCAAGAACGGCCACATCTGCAGCTTCGTCTCCGTGATCGCCGTCCCGGGGAAATCCGCGCCCGCCGCGGACCTCTCGACGGCGGCGTCCGCGGCGAGCGGCGGAGTCGCCCCTCCGCCTCGTCCGCTCGCCCGCTCCCGCGCTTTGGAGATCTCGGCCAAAAGCGCCGCGCCTTCCGGCGTCTCCCGCAAGCGCCGCCCGCCGCCGCCGGCGCCGTCCCGGACCGAGCCGCCGCCCCCGATCGCCGCGCTCAGCCTACCGAGGTCGCCGGGCAGACGGAAGATCCGCGCCGAGCGCAGGCACGAGGGCACGTCCCCGCCGTCGACGCACACCGCCACCATCACGTTCGCGCTCCGCCAGGCCGCGTCCTGCTCGCACAGCAGCCGCAGCGCCGGCGTGAAGAGGTCGCCCAGCTCGGTGGCGCCGCCGGCGTCGTCCGAGCTCGCCGGATCGCCGGCGCCGCCGCGGCCGGCCGGGGGATGTCGGAGGCCGCGCATCTCGTCCCAGCGGCGCCGCGCCGCGCCGGACGCCAGCACCACGACGGCGCCGCCGCTCAGCTGGCACCGCTCGAGCCGCCCGGCCAGCCAGGGCCCCGGGCCGAGGCGCGCCACCTCCCGCTTCTCCCACGCGTCCAGCGCCACCTCGGCGCCGCAGCGGCGGCGCAGGAACGTCGCCAGCGCCCCGACGAGCGCCAGCGGCGAGGATGGCGGGCGGTCGGCGCCGTCCTCGTGGGCGTGGAGCAGCAGCACTGCGGGGGGAGGGGAACGCGGAGGGATGGGTGGGTGTCGCCGTGGTGGCTACGAGATGTTAACTACCTCGCCTGGTGTGCGGGGGGTCGTGAGTTTGACGCCTGCTGCTGTATTTTTTGGAGTTTGCGTGTGTCTCTCTCTCATCACGGTGGCTAGGAGATGTTAACTACCTCGCCTGGTGTGCGGGGGGTCGTGGGTTTGATCCCGACTGACGCCTGCTGCTGTATATTTGGAGTTTGCGTGTCTCTCTCTCTCATCACGGTTTGCTAGGAGATGTTAACTACCTCGCCTGGATTTTTCTCCGGGTCCGCTGGTTTTTCCCTCCACATTTAGAATCAACATCGCGCGTTTAGAGTATTTGGTTGCGATACATTTCCGTGTATATGACACTTCATTGAGCTTTGTGGCCAGGTCGCTTCTGAAAAAAAGAGCGATATAGCTCAGCGGGCCTTACCTGGTAAAATTAAAAATAGTTTTTAGTTTTGTTGCAGAGGTTCGCGGTTCGAATCCGGTGGCCGCCCTGGTTAACACAACGGTGGTGGTGGTGCGGTTTGAACCATGCCAATGCTACGTCATCCTCAGCGTTCGAAAAAAGACACCGCAAATGACCCACTTGGGATCACACACACACAGCAGCATCAGCAGTATCGATCATCGACCCCCCCTCCCCCCCCGACTGGCACAACTCGTGCTCACTTGGCAGGCCAGGTGCCCAAGTCACTTCGTGTCACACGGGGGGACAGCGCTAACGTCGCAAACCCCTCGTCATCGCCGATGGTACAGACACACAGACGGACAACGTGGCGACCGGCAGACACACGGAGGCACGGATACACGGAGACAGACGCACACGGACACACAGAGAGACGCACACGCGGCCAGACAGAGCGTTCCGGCGTGCGTGCGTGCGATTGCTCCCACGCTATCTATGGGGCGTAGCCGTGGCATCCGTGGGTCACAGCTGGGCCTGCTCCGGGCCGACCGACCTTCGCAACGCACGTTCTGGACGACCACGGTCGCACGCTACCGGCGAGTTTTTAACGCTCCGCTTTGCGCGTCGTCAGGCACGCGCTTCGGCCTCGTGGAAGATCAAAACCCCCGGGGGGGGGGGGGATCTCCTGGCGTCGGCTCTTTCACAGCGAGGCGTTCGTGTTGTTGTACTTCCCGTGAATGACGGCGACGGCGGCGGCAGCGGCAGCTATCGGTGCGCGCACGGTCGCGACGACGCGTCGCCGGGGGGTTGGGGGGGTAACGGAATGGTCGTTCAAGCGGTTCGCTCCACATCCCTCGATGAGCGCGATTGGCTACGCGCGCGGCGGTGCGAAAGACGTTCAGCGTACGTACGTACACAGACACGCGCGCACACACGTACCTACACGTACGCACACGTACACACACGTACATACACGTACACACACACGTACACACACACACACCCACACGTACGCACACACACGTACAAACATACCCACACGTACGCACACACACACACATGTACACACACACACGTACACAAATACCCACACTACGCACACACACGTACCCACACGTACGCACACACACACACGTACATACACGTACACACACGCACACACACACGTACATACACGTACACACACACACGTACACTCACCCATTCGGCTTTCTTTGGCGCCGCCAAAAAATCCTGCGACGGAAAAAAGAGAGAGAGACGGAGAGAAAGTAGCACCGGGTCAGCACATGTCTCCATCGTCATCATCACCATCATCACCATCAGCAGCAGCAGCAGCCATGATCAAGTTCACTGCTGGATGAAGCCTCCCCATGCTGCCGCCCCCACCGCCACCACCTGCCTCTCGCGACTCTGCTACCATCCACCTCCTGGCAAAGGCACGCGAGCCCATGTTGTATCTCCATCTCCCTCCGTTGGTTGGACGCCCCCCCCCTCCCCCACGCACAGGGCGAGTGGAAGGGAGAGTTAGGGATTGAGTGGGCGAGCGGCAGGGAGGGCGAGCGGCGGGATGGGCGAGCGGCGGGGTGGGCTAGCGGCATGGTGGGCTAGCGGTGGAGTGGGCGAGCGGCGGGGTGGGCGAGGGGCGGGGTGGGCGAGCGGCATGGTGGGCTAGCGGTGGAGTGGGCTAGCGGCGGGGTGGGCGAGCGGCGGGGTGGGCGAGCGGCGGGGTGGGCGAGCGGCATGGTGGGCGAGCGGCGGGGTGGGCGAGCGGCGGGGTGGGCGAGCGGCGGGGTGGGCGAGCGGCATGGTGGGCTAGCGGTGGAGTGGGCTAGCGGCGGGGTGGGCTAGCGGCGGGGTGGGCGAGCGGCGGGGTGGGCGAGCGGCGTGGTGGGCTAGCGGCGGGGTGGGCTAGCGGCGGGGTGGGCTAGCGGCGGGGTGGGCGAGCGGCGGGGTGGGCGAGCGGCGGGGTGGGCGAGCGGCGGGGTGGGCGAGCGGCGGGGTGGGCGAGCGGCGGGGTGGGCGAGCGGCGGGGTGGGCTAGCGGCTTACGTCCTGGTGCGTGGCCCAGCGAGGCTCCCAGTGCGGTGAGTAGGGCGCCCGCGAGCACTACGGCACCCAGCGCCAGCAGCGGAACCCAGCGCCAGCGTGGCACTGAGCACAGGGAGAGACGGCGGGGGGAGTGGTGGGAGGGGCGGGGGGTGGAGATGTGGGAGAACGACATCGTCATTTTCATCTATGTCCTAATCATCGCCATCAATGCCACCGTGTTCATTAGCATCATCATCATTGCCGTCTTCAGTATCACCGTCATGACCCGTAATCATCATCATCATCATCCTAATACAGGTTGTCTGGGTTAGATAGCGTAAACAGTACGTGGTCAATTCGTTCCTAGTACGGCACACCGGGGCGTGATGGAGAGCAAGGCCACAACATTTACAAACTTTGCTCTTCAGCACACAATCTGCGTGCTGTGCTCGTGACGAATTTGCCATGTTCTGTTTACGTGACAACCCTTACTCGTTGGCTGTGTCGGGTGGTGGCGGGTTTAACGACACAATTACATATTTACGCTATCGAACCCAAAAAAAACGCTAATTTTGGATGATATTGGTCGCGAAAGCGTACGACGTGTTAAGCATCATCCTCCCTTTCATCGTTATCATCAATATTATTGTTTTCACTACCGTCATCCTCACTACCACCTTCATCGTCACGATCACCATCACCTTTTAACGTCGTCGACATCTTCGTTAGATCATCACCGATGCGTCGTCGTCATCAACACCCTTTGTCGCTCCACTGCTGGATGAAGGCCTTACCGACCCGTGTCAGTCGTGGCCGACGACTGACCATACTTCACCACGCTGGTCAGTGCCGGTTGGTGAAAGCGGCGGGCGGCATCGGTAGGGGGGGGGTCGGTGGGTCGGCGGGGGGCAGGCGGCGGCCCGGGACCGACATCGCGATCTCACTCGCCACCGACGTGACCCGCGGCACCGATGCGAAGTTACGTTTTGTAGAACCGCGCGTGCGTACGTGCGGTTCTACGAAACGCGCAGTGCACGTGCGCACGTGCGAGAGGATTCCTCACGCCCACCGGCGGACCAATTGCGAAAGAAAGTGCCGACTCACCGCACACGACGTCGCTCGGCGCGTAGAACTTGTCCGCCTGGAGCTGCGATGGCAGCGGTGGTGGGAGGAGGGGGGGAAGAGACGATAAATCACGTTGAGCAGGCGAGCGAGCGAGCGAGCTCACACCCACGGAACCAGAGTCCGGCCACGCCGCATTCCCACGGCCGCTGCTGGGCCAGATACAGCCCTGGGCAGCTCCGTTCCTACACCATCCCTTAGTCACTCTACACAGAGACCCATACACTTACAGAGACTCATACACTTACTCAGAGACCCGTACACTTACAGAGACCCATACACTTACAGAGACTCATACACTTACAGAGACTCATACACTTACAGAGACTCATACACTTACAGAGACTCAAACACTTACAGAGAGACACATACACTTACACAGAGACCCATACACTTACACAGAGACCCATACACTTACAGAGACCCATACACTTACAGAGACCCATACACTTACAGAGACTCATAGACTTACAGAGACCCATACACTTACACAGAGACCCATACACTTACAGAGACCCATACACTTACACAGACACCCATACACTTACAGAGACTCATACACTTACAGTGACCCATACACTTACACAGAGACCCATACACTTACAGAGACCCATACACTTACACAGAGACCTATACACTTACAGAGACTCATACACTTACCGAGACCTATAATCTTGCATAACTTCGACGATGATAATGATGACGATGATCACGACGACGATGATCACAATGACGACGATGATGACGATGATGACGACGATGACAATGATGACGATGATGACGACGATGATGACGATGATGACGACGACCACGCATCTCACTCACCATGACGCATATCTCCCCCTGGTCCTCGACTTCGGGGTTCAGCGCGAACCCGAGGATGATGGAGCCGTTCTCCTGGTGAGGACAGAAGAAGTTGGTAACAGGACGAGGAGGAGGGAGAGGGGAGGGGGGGAGGAGGAGTCAGCACCCTCGCATCACGCGGGGACTCGAACTCATTCCTCCGCAGTCCGCGGGGGCCGAGACGGGAGGTGACGGCGGGAGGGCACACAGAGCTGGGCCGCAGGGAGCCACGGTGGGGGGGGGGGAAGGCGAGGAGGTTATAGGGAAGACATCGCACGGGCACGCAGCGTGTGCACTTCCAGGGCGCTGGCTGAGACGCTACAGCAACTCATGCCAACCACTCCGATGCCTCTTCACATCTCATGCCAACCACTCCGATGCCCCTTCACATCTCATGCCAACCACTCCGATGCCCCTCCACATCTCATGCCAACCACTGCGATGCCCCTCCCCATCTCATGCCAACCACTCCGATGCCTCTTCACATCTCATGCCAACCACTCCGATGCCTCTTCACATCTCATGCCAACCACTCCGATGCCCCTCCACATCTCATGCCAACCACTCCAATGCCCCTCCCCATCTCATGCCAACCACTCCGATGCCCCTCCACATCTCATGCCAACCACTCCGATGCCCCTCCACATCTCATGCCAACCACTCCGATGCCCCTCCCCATCTCATGCCAACCACTCCGATGCCCCTCCCCATCTCATTCCAACCACTCCGATGCCCCTCCACATCTCATGCCAACCACTCCGATGCCCCTCCACATCTCATGCCAACCAATCCGATGCCCCTCCACAATGGCATGTACTGATATTTTAGTGCACACAATCGACATGAGTTACAAGAACAATCGGCTTGTATAATATACGCATGCATACTCTTTGGTTCTTCGGTAAAGTCACGTAGGTTAAAAAATAAAATAAAGTTAATATAATCACGACGTTTCGGAAGCAACCCAAGCCTCCGTCATCAGGTGGGATAGTCACAGCGAAAAGTAATTTGCTGTAGCGGAGGATTGTGTTTGCTTCCGAAACGTCGTGATTTGATTAACTTTATTTTTCACCTACGTGATTTTACCGAAAGAACCAAAGAGTATGGATCATTGCAGTCACTAAAACTTCAAATCGAGAAATACGAATGCACATTGTACGTTGATTGCCATATAAATAACCCAACCGGCTTTGTAAACCTATTGTCATTCATTAATCCCCCCCCCCCATCTCATGTCACTCAAGAAGTGCTCACAAGTGATGTCATCACATCTACTCCTCTATTTAAGGAACGAAACAGGAGGAAATTATCCACAGATCTGGCTGTCGCCTGATGATACTGGTTGTAATTACTGGTGAAACGTCGTACTCAGATTATAAATGTTATGGCTTGGCTCTCCAACACACGGCTGTGCTGTACTAGTAACGAATTTGCACGTCCTGTTTACGTGACAAACCTTAACTAATTGGCTGTGTCGGGTGGTGGCGGGTTTAACGACCCATTCATATTTGCGCGATCTAACCCAGACAAACCGGTACTACGAGTGACGATGACATTCATGATGATGACGATGACAACGGCGACAATGATCGCGATCGTGTCCACGCCGCCGCTGCCGGCGCTGACGAAACCGTTCCCGCCTCACCTGTCTCTCGGGCCCCTCACCTGTCTCTCGGCGGTGGCGCTGTCCACGGCCGTGTCGCGCCCTCCCCGTCGCACCAGCAGCGTGGCGCGCACCTCGTACACGCACCTGCGCAGCAGCCCGTCGGCGCGCAGCGTCACGCCGCCCGGCGCCCGGCTCAGACGCAGCGCCCCCCACTCCGCCGTGACTGCGGCAAGCCGACACCGCAAGGACAACCCCGCGGTCATGGTCGTCGTCGTCGTCGTCCGTCCGTCCGTCGTGGCGAGATCCGACCGTGTCCGTCCGGTGCTCGCCGAGCTCCTTTGGCTTCCGTGTTTGCCGAACGGGTACGTTACAAGGTCGCGCTCATGACACGCACGCCACTAATGAGTAGCCGGGGGGGGCTGTAAACCATCGCCACACCAACTCCGCTCGTCATCCTCGCAGCAGCAGCAGCAGCAGCGGAGGCTTTTGGCTCAGCCAGCGAACAAAGATGGCGGTGGTCACCGCGTCGCGCTCTTTCAGATGCTTCTAGATGTGAAGCTTTCGTGGCTGCAAGGATTCATACTCTTTGTTTTTTTCGGTAAAGTCACGTAGCTAAAAAAATTAAATCACGACGTTTCGGGCGCAACACAAGCGTCCTTCTTCGGGTGGGGGACAACGTAGCAAAAGCACAAACGCTTAAGTGTGTCTCAGAGATGGCTGTGACGAGGGATTATATAGTCGCGGGGCATGGAGAGAGGGAGGGGGGGGGCATGGTGAGTGTGGGAGCGGGGTGTGGGCTGGAAGGTGAAATTGGTAAGCCAAAGGGAGCGCTGGGAGGCAACAACTTGGGCCGAAACTGGGGCTTTGTGATGTCGGCTGGGAGGTGAAGTTGGGAAGTCGACGGTGCGCTGGGAGGCAACGACTTTCAGATGCGCTCCGGCGGCCGTCCGGAACGCTCTTCCTTCCGATATCCGGAAGCCATTGTAGATACGGCACTGTTACATCGTCATCAGGATTGGCAGAGTCATTTCTTTTGGAACTGCTTTTGTCTTCTTGGTTCTTTCGGTAAGGTCACGTTGCTTTACCGAAAGAACCAAGAATATGAATCACTGCAGTCACGAAAGCTTTAAATCTAAATTTAAATCAAAATTAAACTGCTTTTGTCGTTTAGTTTGTTGTTCTTCCCCCGCACCTCCGATTAGCACGGTCGGCTACGTACGGTGCGAAAGAAGTTCAACGTGCTGTACGTACACACATTGAAAGCTCAGCACGCTGATCAACAACAGTGGCCTTAAAATAAAACATGTATATCAGTACAGCAAGCGGGTTACTACGAACCTATTTCCCGCGAAGTTGCCCATTCCCTCTTGCGAATAGATTTTTCTCAATTCAGGGTGGTTTAAAACACGAGCAGTGGAATGACCGTGCATGCGTGTGCATGCACGTGCGTGTGCATGCACGTGCGTGTGTGTGCATGTGCATGCGCGTGCGAGCATGTGCATGCGCGTGCGTGTGTGCATGTGCATGCACGTGCTTGTGTGCATGCGCGTGCGTGCATGTGCATACGCGTGCGTGTGTGCATGTGCATACCCGTGCGTGTGTGCATGTGCACGCGCGTGTGTGCATGTGCACGCGCGTGCGTATGTGCATACGCGTGCGTGTGTGCACACGCATGTGTGCATGTGCGTGCGTGTGCATGTGCATGCGCATGCGCGTGCAAGCATGTGCATACGCGTGCGTGTGTGCATGTGCATGCGCGTGCATGTGTGCATACGCATGCGTGTGTACATGTGCGCGTGCGTGTGTGCGTGCGCGTGCGTGTGCATGCGCGTGTGTGCGTGTGTGTGCATGCGCGTGTGTGCATGTGCGCGCGTGTGTGCATGCGCGCGTGTGCGTGCGTGTGCATGCGCGTGTGTGCATGTGCGCGTGCATGCGCGTGTGTGCATGTGCGCCTGTGCGCATTCACCGTTCTCAAAGGGACATTTCTGGATTCGCAACGAGCTCTCCCTCGTAGCGTAGACCTGGGCACACACACAAAGACAAAGATCCCCCGTATAGCCTTAAAATACTGTTGGGCCAAGTGCTGTTAGCGAGCACCTATGAAGGCCAGGACGGCACACGATGGGGTGGGTGGCCAACACCACGCCCGGCCGTCTTTGTCTCCCCAGTGGCGATGTTTACTACACACTGCACCAGGTACTCATTAGAGGCTGAGTCGACAACAACCTCCACCACTACAACCACAACAACAACCACAACAACCACCACAACAAACACAACAACCACCACAACAACAACCACCACCACCACAACAACCACCACAATAGCAATTACTACAACGACAACTACAACAACAATAACCACGACCACAACAACCACAATTTCCACAACCACTACAATAGACACAACAGCCACAACAACAACCACAACAACAACAAGCTCAGGGACTGCTGGGACAGCCAGGGCAGGATCAGCGATCCCAGGACTCCTCGGAGTGTAGATGCAGTGGGAGGTTCTGAGAGCATCGCGGTGGCTATGAGATGTTGACTACCTCGCCTGGTATACAGGAGGTCGTGAGTTCGATCCCGACCCTGACGCCTGCTGCTGTATATTTGGAGTCCGTGTGTTCTCTCTCGTGGTGATTGCGTGAATTGCTCTCCGGGTTCCTCCGTCGACATTTAAAATTAACATGCGTTTAGAGTATTGGGCTGCTATAAATTTCCACACGATGAGCCACTTGGTTGAGCTATCATTTGTGGTCAGGTCGCTCCTGAAAAAAAGCTGCATAGCCGAGTGGGGCCTTACCTGGTAAAAAAGAAAAATAGTTGAGTTTTACTTGTGTACATATATTTTAAGTGATTTGTCTATCTTTCCTATACTTCACTGCTATCGTGTTTTTGTATTGTTTGTTGTTGTAACGTTCTGACCCCGTGCCCCTTCTGGACATCTATCAAAAACTGTTTACAGTTTTAGCACGGTGCCACGTGGCTCTTGAAGCAATGAGAGCTGAGCCGGGCCATGAACAGGGCTGGCACGGCACGTGTCTGGCTTCCGAAGGGCCGTTGGAACGCAGCGGGAGTTGTCACCACCACCACCACCAGCACCAACGCCGCCGCCGCAGCTGCCATCGTCGCCGCCACCATCGCCACTGCTACCACCACCCCGCAACGCCCACCACCGTCTCACCTCGACGCAGAGGCAGGGCATGGCTTGCTCTATGATGAACTCGCTCGAATTGCTGCTCCCTGTCAGGGTCCGAATCTGTGGAAGGGAACGACCGTGGGAGCGTTTTCACCGCTCCGTCTGGATTGCTCCTGCAGTCTACATAAAGATTCCGATTCTGAAATTCCAGCGCGTGACTAGAGCCCAGTCTTAGAGCCATCGGGGCTCTACGTTAAGTGACCACAGCCCAGTCCCCAAGCCTCTGGGCTCTACGTTAAGTGAACCCGGCCCAGTCCCCAAACCTCTGGGGCACTACGTTAAGTGAACCCGGCCCAGTCCCTAAGCCTCTAGGGCTCTACGTTAAGTATCCACGGCCCAGTCCCCAAGCCTTGGGCTTTACGTTAAGTGACCACAGCCTGTTCCCTACGCCTCTAGGGCTCTACGTTAAGTATCCACGGCCCAGTCCCCAAGCCTCTGGGCTCTACGTTAAGTGAACCCGGCCCAGTCCCCAAGCCTCTGGGGCTCAACGTTAAGTGAACCCGGCCCAGTCCCCAAGCCTCTGGGGCTCTATGTTAAGTAACCACGGCCCAGTCTCCAAGCCTCTGGGGCTTTATGTTAAGTAACCACAGCCCAGTCCCCAAGCCTCTGGGGCTCTACGTTAAGTGAACCCGGCCCAGTCCCCAAGCCTCTGGGGCTGAACGTTAAGTGACCACAGCCCAGTCCCCAAGCCTCTGGGGCTCTATGTTAAGTAACCACGGCCCAGTCTCCAAGCCTCTGGGGCTCTATGTTAAGTATCCACGGCCCAGTCCCCAAGCCTCTGGGGCTCTACGTTAAGTGACCACGGCCCAGTCCCCAAGCCTCTGGGGCTCTACGTTAAGTAACCACGGCCCAGTCTCCAAGCCTCTGGGCTCTACATTAAGTGAACCCGGCCCAGTCCTCAAGCCTCTGGGGCTGAATGTTAAGTGAACCCGGCCCAGTCCCAAAGCCTCTGGGGCACTACGTTAAGTGAACCCGGCCCAGTCCCCAAGCTTCTGGGGTTGAACGTTAAGTGAACCCGGCCCAGTCCCAAAGCCTCTTGGGCTGAACGTTAAGTGACCACAGCCCAGTCCCCAAGCCTCTGGGGCTCTACGTTAAGTGGCCATGGCCCAGTCCCCAAGCCTCTGGGGCTCTATGTTAAGTCACCACGGCCCAGTCTCCAAGCCTCTGGGCTCTACGTTAAGTGAACCCGGCCTAGTCCCCAAGCCTCTGGGGCTGAACGTTAAGTGAACCCGGCCCAGTCCCCAAGCCTCTGGGGCTCTACGTTAAGTGAACACAGCCCAGTCCCCAAGCCTCTGGGGCTCTACGTTAAGTGAACACAGCCCAGTCCCCAAGCCTTGGGCTCTACGTTAAGTGAACCCGGCCCAGTCCCCAAGCCTTGGGCTCTATGTTAAGTGGCCACGGCCCAGTCCCCAAGCCTCTGGGCTCTACGTTAAGTGAACCCGGCCCAGTCCCCAAGCCTTGGGCTCTACGTTAAGTAACCACGGCCCAGTCCCCAAGCCTCTGGGCTCTACGTTAAGTGGCCACGGCCCAGTCCCCAAGCCTCTGGGGCTCTATATTAAGTGATCATGGCCTAGTCCCCAAGCCTCTGGGGCTCTATATTAAGTGATCATGGCCTAGTCCAAGCCTCTGGGGCTCTATATTAAGTGATCATGGCCTAGTCCCCAAGCCTTCGGGGACTAGGCCATGAAAGCATCGTGGTCTGTGACTCGAGAAGAGCTCACGCAGGAAAATAAATCTGCGCAGCCCCCCCCCCGCCCCTGCGACGCCATGCAAAAATGGGAAGTATGACTCAGACCACGAAGACAACGAAGATGGAACGTTTTGACGAGTTGGCTTATCAGCGAGATGTTAACTCCCTCGCTTGGTATACAGGAGGTCGTGGATTCGATCCCAACCCTGATGCCTGCTGTATACTTGGAGTTTGCGTGTCTCTGTCTGTCTCCTTGGTCACGTAGATTTTGCTCTGGGTCGTCCAGTTTTTTCCCCTCCACATTTAGAATCAACATCATGCGTTTCAGAGTATACGGCTGTTATACATTTCCTCGCGATGCAAAACCGCCACTTCTATTGAGCTATCATTTGTGATGAGGAGAGGGGGCGCTCACGGGTGCCGCGCCGGCACAGCTGGCGAACGTGAGGTGGCACAGCCGCACGTTGTATTCCGGGCGAGGGTCAAAGCTTCGGTAGGACACCAGCAACCGCCCCGGCGTCGCGTTGACGGCCAGGCTGACGAGTGCCGTCCACTCTGCCCCAAACCGCACACGAAGACAGAGGTCAAACCGCCACCCGTTGCGGGCCTACGCAGGCTCGCCATTAGCGAGCACCTATTAAGGCCGGCGCGGTGCACGGGACGAACGTACGTATGTACGTTGAACTCATTTCGCACCGCGCGTAGACAACCGCGCTAATCGGAGGTGCGTGCGGGGGAAGGACAACAAACTAAACGCAAACAGTAGTTCTGATTGAATTAGTTTTCAATCTGGATGATTTAATGGTGCATAGCTCCCAGTGGCTTCCTAACATCGGAAGGAAGAGCGTTCCAGACGGCCGCAGAAGCAGCGCATCTGAAAGCGCCGCGAGCGGTGCGGTGACCACCGTCTTTGTTGCGATGGATAGCCAAAAGCCGCCGCGACTCAAGAGTCAGATCGAGAAAGTTATCCATGGGGTGAAGGCAGTCCGACTGTTCACCGGGGTAAAGCCCACCGAACGATGGGCTCTTTTTCAGAGGCGACCTGACAGCTCGGCTTATGTGACCATCACGCCTGGGGATTTACAGTAGCAACCAAATAAACTCAAGGGTGGCGTGACATTGATTCTGAATGTGGAGTTGATTGGGGGGGGGGGGGGGACAAAACCGGAGGAGGAACCCGGGGAAAATAATCCACGCTACAATCACCATGGAAGGAAAGAGAGAACACACGGACGCAAAGTACAGGGTGCTTCACAACAATGTTAACACTTACATGGGAGTTACGTTTTTAAATGAAAAAAAAACGGAGAATATACACTGTAACATGATAACAAATGTAATGTTAACAGCTTCAAAAAGTCAAAGAGTCTCCACTTGTTCGCCATCATTGTCAACACGTGGCCTGGAAGCTTCTCCAGGTGATCTCCAGAGCCCAGAGGCAGCACATTTCTTGCGGTATTGTTGCAAATCCTCTGAAGTGTTCACATTTTTTTGAAGCACCCTGTGTACAGCAACAGGCACTGTCATGGTCCAGGGTTGAACCCACGACCTCCTGCGCGCCAGGCACGGGGGATAACATCTCCTCGCCTCTGCGGCGGCCATGACATTTCAAGGCTTTCTAAACAGTGCCCTAGATTGAACACTAATTTTCGATTGAAAACTCATTTTTAATTGAAAACTCATTCCTTTAGAACTGCTTGTTGTTGCGTTTCGTTTTTTGTTCTTCCCCTACCCCCCGCGCACCTCCGATTAGCATGGTTGGCTACGTACGGTGCGAAAGAAGTTTAACGTACATACATTAAAAACGTTCAATGTATGTTCTCTGGTAAATATCAAAAACATACCAAATGTTTGCATTTCAAAGGGGGGGGGGGGGCAACTGCCGGCCACGGCCCTGCTCCCCTCACCTCTTCGGTGCTTGTGCCAGGCGAGGTGCACCGTGTGGCCATCGCATGACGGCTCTCTGGTAGGTCATGGGGACAGACCCAGGTGTTACGGGTTATCAGCACAGACTATTGGGGCAAGTGCTCTTGGCGAGTAGCACCTGTAAGAGGGTCAGTGGCCAGCACCACGGCCGGCTGCCTTCATCTCTGACCTGTGCTGAAGTCTACACGCAGCGCCAGGCACTCAATTACGGCCGAGTCGACCCAGGGGAGGCCCAGGATTGGTTGAAATATTCACACTTATCGGGCGTGAGCGGGAATCGAACTCGGGTCGCCGGGTTCGTAGTGCTGTCCACTAACCACTGCGCCAGCACTCCCCACCGCTGACATGCTGGCACACGTATACGGACACACACAGAAGTGTGCACATGTGTATGTATAGTGAGTGGTGTGTGCTGTACGTACTTTTGCAGATTGGAAACTTTGCGAGGTTCGGGTCAGTACAAACTGTGAAGAGAGAAAGAGACAGAGGTACGATCAATGCTGCCTGCCTTGATCTAGCACAGGTATCAAGTTCAAACCTAGGGATTGTACCTCGTGTAGCTCAGCCGTGAGTCTAACCCAGCCGTGAGTCTGACACAGCCTTGAGTCTGACACAGCCGTGAGTCTGACCCAGCCGTGAGTCTGACCCAGCCTTGAGTCTGACACAGCCTTGAGTCTAACCCAGCCGGGAGTTTGACCCAGCCGTGAGTCTGACCCAGCCGTGAGTCTGACCCAGCCGTGAGTCTGACCCAGTCTTGAGTCTGACACAGTCTTGAGTCTGACACAGTCTTGAGTCTGACCCAGCCTTGAGTCTGACACAGCCGTGAGTCTGACCCAGCCGTGAGTCTGACCCAGCCTTGAGTCTGACACAGCCGTGAGTCTGACACAGCCGTGAGTCTGACCCAGCCTTGAGTCTGATCCAGCCTTGAGTCTGACACAGCCTTGAGTCTGACATAGCCGTGAGTCTGATTCCGCGTACAATCTCTGCCCATGCGTGTTCCCGGCACAATGGCGGGAGGGAGGGGGGGGTGCGCTAGCGAGGCTGTGTGGTGGCGAGCGTACCTGGCACGGTGTAGTTGGCGCTGGCGCTCTCCACGTACGGCTGGCTGTGGACGCTCACGTACACAAATTCCCCGGGGCTCACGGAGAAACACGAGTACGTGAAGCTCCACTGTGACACGACGGGCAATACAAGGGGGCACGGAGACGTGGGCAACTCAACGGAGACCGTCCCGGCGCAGACGGCGTGCGTGTGTGCATGTGCGTGCGTATTGATAGCGGTAGTGTAGCGGTTAGCGTGCTGCGCTGCGCTTCGTATGTGCGTGTGTATGTTGAACTTCTTTCGCACCGTACGTACCCGACCGTGCTAATCCGAGGTGCTACGAACCCGGCGACCCGAGTTCGATGCTCGCTCACGGCTAACACCGGTGACGCTAAACTGAACCGGTCCTGGGCCTCCCCGAGGTCGACTTAGCATCAAATGAGTACCTGGTGCAGTCTGCAGTTAACATCGCCACTGGGGGAGACAAAGGCGGCCGGGCGTGGTGCTGGCCACGCATGCCCTTGCGTGCCATGCCGGCCTTCATAGGTACTCATGAGCAGCACTTTCCCCCCCAGTCTATGAAGGCTACACCTGGGATCGATGGCTTTGGGGTGGGCAGTGGGCACTGTTCCTGTCATCCAAGGGATCACTGTGATAGTGAGGGTGGCATCTCGAGCTCCTTCTCAGAGTGAGCAGTAGTTACCAGGTCATCCACATCACATCATGTGGCTGAACAGTAGGAAGCCATTCTTGGACCGCATCTATCAGCCTCCCATTGTATCCTTAGCAGACAGAAATTTCTCCAGTAGTCATGGACAGTTGATCAAACTACGTCAATCAAAGACGATGTTAAATAGTGGAGGAGCCAGAGAACGTCCCTGTCGCACTCGACCGTGAACAGGGAGTGACTCCGACTCCCGGCTACGCAGATTTACCCGGGCCTGCCCACCATGGTGAAGGTCCTTAATGATTGTGATCAGAATCAGGGACCCAGAAAGCACGAAGAACAACCCACAGCACTGGCCTATTCATCGTATCCTAGGCCTTGGCCAGGTCCTGTTGAAATTCTCTACACCTCTGCTGTAGCAAACGGACAAAGTATGGAGCCCGTGCAGGACCGCCCCTACCTAAAACCACACTGGCGGAGAGAAAGATGGCCAGGCATGGTGCTGGCTTCACTACCCCGTCGTGAATTGGTTTGGCCTTAATAGGTGCTCACTTACAGCTCTTAGCGGTTCTTAACATTTACTGCAGCCTTGCACAATGTTAACAAATACATAGAGGGTTTGATGAAAGAAAGTAAGTTGTAACTTACGTGCCCGTGCTTAATTTGTGTCGCCGATGATTTACCTTCGAAAAATAAATGTGGCCATGTCTCACACCCCCAGAAAGGGCATCTCTCACCCCCTGGGGGTGCAGCGTGCAATCGCTGCCCTAGCGCCTGCGTCCCCCCTGTATCCCCCCCCTTCCCCCGCCGCCCCCCCCCTCCTCGTTCCCCCACCCCTCCCCTTCCCATGCCCCCCCCCCCCTCCGAGCTCACCGGCCGTCCCTGCGGGTCGCGCTGCTCCGCGGGGGGTCTCGGGAAGTGGAGGGAGACGCTCTCGTGCCGGTCGCGGACCTTCACCTTCACGCAGAAGCCCGTCACGCTGCGAACACTCGCTACTCGGCACACACGGGGGGACACGTGGGCACGCACGTGGGCACGCACGGGGGCACGCACGTGGGCACGCACGGGGGCACGCACGTGGGCACGCACGGGGGCACGCACGTGGGCACGCACGGGGGCACGCGCGGAGACACACGGGGACACACAGGAACACACCGGACACAAGGGGACATACCGGGACACGCGGGGAGACACAGGGACGCAGGAGGACACACAGTGACAGGGGACACACGGGGACAGGAGACACACGGGGACATGTGCAGGAAGAAAGGACAAGAGACACGGGGCCAGGAGACGTGGGGATGGAATAGCGAGACAAAGGAGTGGGGGACACGAGAATGGGAAACACGGGACATGGGTGGGAGACACGGGAGTGGGAGACACGGGGACATGGGTGGGAGACACGGGAGTGGGAGACACGGGGACATGGGTGGGAGACACGGGAGTGGGAGACACGGGGACATGGGTGGGAGACACGGGAGTGGGAGACACGGGAGTGGGAGATACGGGGACATGGGTGGGAGACACGGGAGTGGGAGACACGGGGACATGGGTGGGAGACAGGGGAATGGGAGTCACGGGGACAGGAGACACACGAGTTAGTAGCCTTTGTGGCGATGCCATGAGGAACAGGGAGCAGTTAGGATGCTGACAATGGTTATGGTGATGACTGATGATGCTGATGATGATACGTACGAAGATGGTGACGCCAATGACTGATGATGATGACGTTGATGCCGCTGCTGCTGATGATGACAAAGCTGACGATGACTCTAATCATGATTACGACACTGATGATGATGGGAACTTTGATGACGCTGATGCTGAAAATTTAAATGGCAATGATGCTGATAATGGCGCTGATAACGCTGCTGCTGCTGCTGCTGATGATGCTAACGACGACAATGATGACGACAATGATGACGATGACGACAATGATGACGATGATGATGACAATGACGACGATGACAACAATCATGACGACAATGACGACGATGACGACAATAATGACGATGACGACAATAATGACGAATACGACGATGACGACAATCATGACGATGACGACGATGACGACGTGGCTTCACCATCCACGGGCAGGCTCCAAGCGACTCTCAGCACCAGCGCTTTCCCGTTGGCCGAGGGCACGGTGGCCAAGTGCAGATTCTGTGGGACCGAGGGCAGAAGGTCGCCTCCCAGAAGAGACTCGCAGCCTGCATGAGGGACACACGGGGGACACGAGGGGGATATACAAGGGGGACATACAAGGGGGGCACGCGGGGGGGGGGGGACACGCAGGGGGACACGTGGGGGACATCGGGGTCGATCCATCACAATCCCAAACCCACACAGTCCCACCCGGATCCATGCGGTCCGACCATCGTAATTTTTCAGAGCTCGTCTGAGCCACCAGGGCCCATCAGAATCAGAATCTTTATTGAGACTGCGGGAAGAATGCGATGAGCTATGAAGCTCTGTTTTTTTCACACAGATGTCCAGTATAGGCGGGTGAGCGAGTCACAACATCAGTGAGCAAGTTACAACAGCAAGAAGCCCTTCAGTGCCGAACGTGAACCACCCAGAAACACGGTTGAATGTTTGCTCAACGAGATGGCTTACCATCATCATCATCATCACGTGGCATATTTAAAGTTCCCAAATACTCGAAACGCGTGACGTTGATAAATGTGGAGGGGAAAAACCGGAGGAACCAGAGAAAAATCCACGCGACCACGTGGAGAGAGAGACACGCAAACTCCGAATATACAGAAGGCATCAGGGTCGGGATCGAAGCCACGACCTCCTGCATACCAGGCGAGGTAGTTAACATCTTCTAGCCACCGTGATGATGATGAGAGAGAGAGACACGCAAACTACGAATATACAGAAGGCGTCAGGGTCGGGCTCGAAGCCACGACCTCCTGCGTACCAGGCGAGGTAGTTAACATCTCCTAGCCACCGTGGCGATCCTCAGGGTGGTTACCAGGGGTTACCCGTTACCTGCCTTCGTCCGCCAATCCGATTACAATGTCCACGTTAATTTTTTTGTCAACGCATTCAAGACTCCCAAACGATATGGCCGTGGACCAACTCACCTTTGACCACAGTGCAGGCGAGACCCTGAGACACAAGGCAGAAAGAAGACAACGGTGATTAATGGGCAATGCAGACACGTCCATTGGAATTCCCAGCAATGCCCGCAAAGTAGCCGAGGTAGGGTGCCCTACTGAACCACGGCGGACCCGAGTTCGAGTCCCTGCCACGGCTCGCGTTAGTTGCGGGTGATATCAGTCACGGGGGGGTCAGGGGTCGGCAACCTGCGGCTCCGGGAGCCGCGTGCGGTGGCTCTTTACGGATCTGGCTCTTGAAATGTTGCGGGGGATGGGGGGGGGTTATCGAATTCGAAAAAAAATGTTTCTGCTTGTTATTTTGGTTGCCGGCCCATTACCATGCGAGTCCAGTTTAACATCGGAGTCCGGCTTACTATGGGAGTTCAGTTTACCACGGAAGTCCAGTTTACCATGGAAGTCCAGTTTACCATGGAAGTCCAGTTTGCCTTGCGAGTCCAGTTTACCACGGAAGTCCAGTTTGCCTTGGAAGTCCAGTTTACCACGGAAGTCCAGTTTACCACGGAAGTCCAGTTTACCATGGAAGTCCAGTTTGCCATGCGAGTCCAGTTTACCGTGGAAGTCCAGTTTACCACGGAAGTCCAGTTTGCCATGCAAGTCCAGTTTGCCATGCGAGTCCAGTTTACCATGTGAGTTCAGTTTACCATGCGAATCCAGTTTGCCATGCGAGTCCAGTTTACCACGGAAGTCCAGTTTGCCATGCGAGTCCAGTTTATTATGGGAGTCCAGTTTACCATGGAAGTCCAGTTTACCACGGAAGTCCAGTTTGCCTTGCGAGTCCAGTTTACCACGGAAGTCCAGTTTACCATGCGAGTCCAGTTTGCCATGCGAGTCCAGTTTACCATGGAAGTCCAGTTTACCATGAGGGTCCAGTATACCATGGACGGCTCATTAAGGAACTGCTTCGTGACGTCATCTACTAAGGACCCGCCGTCTCGAGTTCACCATGCGGTGCACGGCGACTCTTGAGACATCGTGAGCGTTTTGCCGAATTCGGCAAAGGAAATTGCTATTCCACCATTGGAACCTCCTTTGCCAGTAGCAACATATGATAATTGTTTTACCCTTTTATCTGGCAACAAAACTGACACCTACGGTCGGAATGCAAGCAAAAAAAATAACTCTGATAATGTATTGGCACTGTCCTTGAAATTGATTGGTCCACACCCGAGACAGCTTTCCTTAGAGCCTAGTCTCACATTGGTGTTGGACCAGATGACGCCAAAAGGCGCATACATTATCAGAGTGCTGTTTTTTGTTTGCATTCCGACCGCAGGTATTGTGGTTAATGCAAACATGACTCCTTGTAAGAAAGGTGTCAGTTTTGTTGCCAGATAAAAGGATAAAAAAAACAATGATCGAAATTGCTATTCTCCTTATCTTTGTCGCCGACCGCTGGATTTGAACCAACGTGTAGGTGCGATGTGTTTAACACACACACACACTGAACATGAGAACTGGGGAGACAAAGGCGGCCGGGCGTGGTCTCGTTGGCCACCCAACTCTCTCGTGTGCCGTAACGACCTTCATAGGTGCGCGCGAACAGCACTTGAAGGCGACACGCGTGTTATGTGTTGTCGTTGTATGGACGTGTGTCACTCATTGGGGAGCGGTGGTGTAGCGGTTAGCGTGCTGCGCTAAGCACCCGGCGACCCGAGTTCGACTCACGCTCACGGCCAACACCGGTGGACGATTGTCTGAACCTGTCCTAGGCCTCCCCTAGGTCGACTCAGCCTCAAATGAGTACCCGGTGCGATGTGTAAACATCGCCACTGGGGAGACAAAGGCGGTCGGGCGTGGTGTTGGCCACCCCCCCCCCCTCCCCCTCGTGTACCGTTCCGGCTTTCATAGGTTGCTCGCTAACAGCACTTGCCCCTGCAGTCTGTTAAGGCTACACGGGGGATCTTTGTCTTCGTTACTAATCGGAGCGGCGGTTGCGGCGGCTTGCGCGCTGCGCTACGAACCCGGCGTCACCCGAGTTTCAAATTCCCGCTCGCGAACTCAGCCCCTAGGTCGACTCGGCCTCGAATGAGTGCCTGGACGCGATGTGTAAAACAAAACAAAAACGTCTCCAACTCGGAAGACAACGGACCCCGGCCGTGGCGGCGTTCACGGAGGTGCTCGCTAACAAGCACTTGCCCCTGCAGTCTGTCTAAGCTATCAGGGGTTGGGAACCTTTTTTCTGCCAAGGGCCATTTGTATATTTATATAACATTATTCGCGGGCCATACAAAATGATCAACTTAAAAATTAGGCCGTTATGTTTGGTCAAACATTTAATCAACTCGCCGCTAATGCGATGATGGCTGGAACTGCTTCTCTTTGGTGAGGCGTAGTGATGATGTTAGCTGGTATTGATGATGTTAGCTGGTGTTGATGATGTTAGCTGGTATTGACGATGTTAGCTGGTATTGATAATGTTGGCTGGTATTGATGTTAGCTGGTATTGATGATGTTAGCTGGTGTTGATGATGTTGGCTGGTGTTGATGTTAGCTGGTATTGATAATGTTGGCTGGTATTGATGTTAGCTGGTATTGACGATGTTAGCTGGTGTTGATGATGTTGGCTGGTGTTGATGTTAGCTGGTATTGATAATGTTGGCTGGTATTGATGTTAGCTGGTATTGATGATGTTAGCTGGTATTGATGATGTTAGCTGGTATTGATGATGTTAGCTGGTGTTGATGATGTTAGCTGGTGTTGATGATGTTAGCTGTTGTTGATGATGTTAGCTGGTATTGATGATGTTAGCTGGTATTGATGATGTTAGCTGGTGTTGATGTTAGCTGGTATTGATGATGTTAGCTGGTATTGACGATGTTAGCTGGTGTTGATGATGTTAGCTGGTATTGACGATGTTAGCTGGTATTGATGTTGTTAGCTGGTGTTGATGTTGTTAGCTGGTGTTGATGATGTTAGCTGGTATTGACGATGTTAGCTGGTGTTGATGATGTTAGCTGGTATTGATGATGTTAGCTGGTATTGATGATGTTAGCTGGTATTGATGATGTTGGCTGGTATTGATGTTATATTCTTGTTTTTTTTTATTTTATTGTTTCCCTTCTACGTATCTTTACCGAAAGAACCAAGAATATGAATCCTTCCAGTCATGAAAGCTTTAAATCAAAATGGTATTGTTGTTAGCTGGTATCGATGATGTTAGCTGGTATTGATGATGTTAACTGGTATTGATGATGTTAGCTGGTATTGATGTTGTTAGCTGGTATCGATGATGTTAGCTGGTATCGATGATGTTAGCTGGTGTCGATGATGTTAGCTGGTATCGATGATGTTAGCTGGTATCGATGATGTTAGCTGGTGTTGATGATGTTAGCTGGTATTGATGTTGTTAGCTGGTATTGATGATGTTAGCTGGTATCGATGATGTTAGCTGGTGTTGATGATGTTAGCTGGTATTGATGTTGTTAGCTGGTATTGATGATGTTAGCTGGTATCGATGATGTTAGCTGGTGTTGATGATGTTAGCTGGTATTGATGATGTTAGCTAGTATCGATGATGTTAGCTGGTGTTGATGTTAGCTGGTATTGATGTTGTTAACTGGTATTGATGATGTTAGCTGGTATCGATGATGTTAGCGGGTGTTGATGTTAGCTGGTATTGATGTTGTTAGCTGGTATTGATGATGTTAGCTGGTATTGATGTTGTTAGCTGGTATTGATGATGTTAGCTGGTATCGATGATGTTAGCTGGTATCGATGATGTTAGCTGGTATCGATGATGTTAGCTGGTGTTGATGATGTTAGCTGGTATTGATGTTGTTAGCTGGAATTGATGATGTTAGCTGGTATTGATGTTGTTAGCTGGTATTGATGATGTTAGCTGGTATTGATGATGTTAGCTGGTATCGATGATGTTAGCTGGTATCGATGATGTTAGCTGGTGTTGATGATGTTAGCTGGTATTGATGTTGTTAGCTGGAATTGATGATGTTAGCTGGTATTGATGTTGTTAGCTGGTATTGATGATGTTAGCTGGTATTGATGATGTTAGCTGGTATTGATGATGTTAGCTGCTATTGATGATGTTAGCTGGTATTGATGTTGTTAGCTGGTATTGATGTTGTTAGCTGGTATTGATGATGTTAGCTGGTATTGACGATGCTGCTACTCGCAACTGCGTTTCCAGGTTTGCTCCTAGATTTGTTGAATTTCGAGTCCCGCCTGCGGTTGCCTTGGCAGGGCCAGACCCCTGGCACTCTAAGGTAACTTTGGTCTTTGATGGCCCCTGTTGCGTTATGAACGCGCACTCACCTGTTGCGAGCAATTCCTGCTGCACGTGTCGAGTGTCCGAGTCGCCAGCGACGGGATCACCATCACCATCGTCGTCATCGCCACCATCACCATCCCCATCGTCGACCACGGTCCCAACCTTTTCATCTCCATCATCATTTGACGTTAAAGTCCCTTCGTCTTGCGTGGTGGGGCGGTGGTGGTCTTGGTGATGATGAATTATAAATCCACGGCCGTGCGGGAAGAAGTCGTTGAAATCGCTATTGCTGGCCACAGATTCTCCGGGCTCGCCATAGGAATGTGGAATTTCCACCCACCCGGTCCGCAAGGGCTGTAACAGAAGTGGACGTTGAATGGGGCGCCGAAAGTTGCAATGAGCGCGCTCCACTTCGAGCCGTCAGCGAGCGACTGAAGACTGAAAAGTCGCTCGCTCCGCTCACGCAGCCGCTGCTGGTTGGTGAGAGGCGGGGAGAGCGAGGGGCAGGCGGGGAGAGGGAGGCGGGGAGGGCGAGGGGCAGGCGGGGAGGGCGAGGCTTGGGGAGGGCGAGGCTTGGGGAGGGGAGGGGTGGTCTTCATCAAGCAGTAGATTGATCATGGCCGATGAGCGTGACAGGGGAACGAGGGAATGTGCATGGTGAGGAATGATGCGTCAACGTGCTAGAGACGCGAGTTGTTTTATTTGGGGATAATTGCCGGGAACCGGTTGGACGAATGCAGTCGCAGATCTCTGGGCACCCAACCCTGCCCAGAGGCGACAAATCCGGGCAGACCTCCTCATACCTCACGCGTGACGGGGGGAGGGGGGGGCAGAGGGGGGCTGGTTGTGAGCACGGGCAACCCAGAAGGCTTCATAAGAGAGAGAGAAAACAAAGACTTCCACGAGTCTTCGTCATCGGCGTTCCCAGCGTTCCCAACCCCCCGTGGTTGTGTTGTTGTTGTTGTGTCTCTCCCTCGGTGTTATTCCGAACAGGGCCTCTCTCTCCTCTGCGCTTCACTGAGCACTTCTCAGATGAGTTTTTGTTTAAAAAAAATTCCTGGAAAGCCACTGTCATTCATATGCATTCATTAATCTCCCCCCCCCAACACACAAACACACCCCAACAATTCGCTCAAGAAGTGCTCACAAGTGATGTCATCACATCTACCCCTCGGATATTGCTGTCCGCCTGATGTTGTAATCACTGCCGAGACGTCACGTACTTAGGCTGTATAATATACGCGTGCAAATTGTGCGTTGATTGCCATATAAATAACCTAACCGGCATTGTAAACCTATTGTCATTCATTAATCCTCCCCCCCATCTCACGTCACTCAAGAAGTGCTCACAGGTGATGTCAGCACCATCTACCCCTCTATTTAAGGAACGAAACAGGAGGATTTATCCACAGATCTGGCTGTCCGCCTGATGATGCTGGTTGTAATTACTGGTGAAACGTCGTACTCAGATTGTAAACATTGTGGCTTTACTCTCCAACACACGGGTGTGCTGTACTAGTAACGAATTGGCACGTTCCATTTACGTGACAACCCTTAACTAATTGGCTGTGTCGGGTGGTGGCGGGTTTAACGACACATTCATATTTACGCGATCTAACCGAACCAAACCAAACCTCCCCCCCCCCTATATTATGGAGATGAAGCAAGTACATTATTTGGGGCAATGCTCACCCGATAGGCTGTTTAATGTTTCCTACAGCTCGCGAGTTTCACATTCTCTCTCTCTGCTTGTGTGTCTATCTGTGTGTCTATGTTGTGTCTCTCTGCTTGTGTGTCTGTCTGTGTGTCTATGTTGTGTGTCTCTGCTTGTGTGTCTATCTGTGTGTCTATGTTGTGTGTCTCTCTCTGCTTGTGTGTCTGTCTGTGTGTCTATGTTGTGTGTCTCTCTGCTTGTGCGTCTGTCTGTGTGTCTATGTTGTGTCTCTCTCTGCTTGTGTGTCTCTCTGTGCGTCTATGCTGTGTGTCTCTCTCTCTCTGCTTGTGTGTCTATCTGTGTGTCTATGTTGTGTGTCTCTCTCTGCTTGTGTCTGTCTGTGTCTATGTTGTGTGTCTATCTGTGTGTCTATGTTGTGTGTCTCTCTCTGCTTGTGTCTGTCTGTGTCTATGTTGTGTGTCTCTCTCTGCTTGTATGTCTATGTTGTGTGTCTCTCTCTGCTTGTATGTCTATGTTGTGTGTCTCTCTCTGCTTGTGTGTCTATCTGTGTGTCTATGTTGTGTGTCTCTCTGCTTGTGTGTCTCTCTGTGCGTCTATGTTGTGTGTCTCTCTCTGCTTGTGTGTCTGTCTGTGTGTCTATGTTGTGTGTCTCTCTCTCTGCTTGCGTGTCTCTCTGTGCGTCTATGTTGTGTCTCTCTCTGCTTGTGTGTCTGTCTGTGTGTCTATGTTGTGTGTCTCTCTGCTTGTGTGTCTCTCTGTGCGTCTATGTTGTGTGTCTCTCTCTGCTTGTGTGTCTGTCTGTGTGTCTATGTTGTGTGTCTCTCTCTCTGCTTGTGTGTCTCTCTGTGTGTCTATGTTGTGTGTCTCTCTCTGCTTGTGTGTCTGTCTGTGTGTCTCCGCGTCTGTGTTTTGTGTCTCTCTCAAATGTAGTTCTACCTGATGACGGTCGCTTGTGTTGCAATCGAAACGTCGTACTCTATTATTTATTTTATTTTATTTCTACGTGACTTTACCGAAATAACCAAAGGGTAAAAATCAGAATAGGTTTTTTTACCTTTTGTGACAGTAAAACAGGAGGTGGTAAGATGGTCAAACACCAAACAGAAACATTTTGCAGGAATCGAGACAATGCTTATATAATCAAAGCATCCATGACTTAAAGCTTTCGTGACTGCAGGAATTCATATTCTTGGTTCTTGACTTTACCGAAAGAACCAAGAATATATAATAACAAAACATGTTTATTATTTTTCTTATTTTAGTAGGTGTTAAAAAAATAATAAAAATAATAGCATAATTATATTTGTATTATTTGATCTATCTACGTGGCTTTACCGAAAGACCCAAGAATACAGAGCATCCATAATAGTTTTTTTGGGGGTTAGCTATATTTACGTGATCTCACCAAAAAAAACCCCTAATATGGATATTGGTCCTGAAAGCCTACGCATTAACAGAGCATGTTTATTTGCATGTTCACCACAAGTACGTGTGTGGGTTACTGCAGACTTGATTCCTTGCAAAATGTTTCTGTTTGGTGTTTGAACGTCTTAACACACCACCTGCTTTATCGCCAGGAAAGGGTACAAACCATTCTTGTTTTTGTTCGTAATTTTAGACACTGGCAAAGCGCGGGGGGGGGGTCCCCCATGGATGAGAGGGGGGGGGGTCCCCCATGGATGAGAGGGGGGGGTCCCCCATGGATGAGGGGGGGGGTCCCCATGGATGAGAGGGTGGGGGTCCCCCATTGATGAGAGGGTGGGGGTCCCCCATGGATCAGAGGGGGGGGGTCCCCCATAGATGAGAGGGTGGGGGTCCCCCATGGATGAGAGGGGGGGGTCCCCCATAGATGAGAGGGGGGGTCCCCCATGGATGAGGGTGGGGGTCCCCCATGGATGAGAGGGGGGGGTCCCTCATAGATGAAAGGGTGGGGGTCCCCCATAGATGAGAAGGGGGGGTCCCCCATAGATGAGAGGGTGGCGGTCCCCCATGTATGAGAAGGGGGGGTCCCCCATAGATGAGAGGGTGGGGGTCCCCCATGGATGAGAAGGGGGGGGTCCCCCATAGATGAGAGGGTGGGGGTCCCCCATGGATGAGAAGGGGGGGTCCCCCATGGATGAGAGGGGGGGGGGAGTCCCCCATGTATGAGAAGGGGGGGGGGTCCCCCATGGATGAGATGTATCTCTGGGCTCTCACGCGGTGAAGCCACAATACCAACTGGGAACTCCCACACATCATCACCAGTCCATGTATCACGCCAATAAGCTCCCGACCCCTCCTTACCTTGCCTACCCTCCCCCCTTCGCCCCCACCCACCTCTTTCTCCACCCTCACCCCACCCCTGGACAAATATAAATCAAACGATATGTCCGAAGGACAGCTCGTCAGCGGGGGGACAACAGGTGAGTGAGGCACACAAAAATGTCGCCTACAAATGCCAATTTATTTTTGTCTCCCAACGCGATCGATCGCGCTGCGCCGATACAAACCCCCCCCCCCACCGCCCCCTTCGATTCGCCAGAAACATTCGCGACGACTCCCCCCGTTGTTGCCCCCACCTCCTCTCCCCCTCTCTGCCACGCAAATTCTGAACAAGAACACAAAGAGCGTTTCGCCGCACAACAAACCAAACACTTTGTTGTGGCCGTTCGCAGTGCCGGATTATCCCAGTAGCACAAGTGTAGTAGCTACACCACGTGTAGTAGCTACAACACGTGTAGTAGCTACAACACGTGTAGTAGCTACAACACGTGTAGTAGCTACAACACGTGTAGTAGCTACAACACGTGTAGTAGCTACAACACGTGTAGTAGCTACTACACATGAAGTAGCTACGGGCCCCGCACTTTCAAGGGCCCCGCGCTAAATGCTTTCAAGCTATCAATTCCGGTTCAGTGATTCTGCACTTGCTCTATTACTATAGTACTATACCGCCTTCAACTTTTATGAACGAATGGGTGTTTAAGGTTAGCGATTCGTCGCATTATCTGGCTGAACAGCAAATGAAAAAAATACAATTACTTCACTATGCAAGTTCAAAATGTATGTGTTTTAATATTTACGTGGTTTTTTTTTAGCGGGAGCGGTGCCAGTGCTTTGTTTCCATAGGACGGCCGACTTGAGTCGGACTCCACTCACTTGGCCTCCGCTTAAAGCGACGTCAACTCGGGCCCGAGATTTTAACAACAACAACAACAAAAACGAAAGGCGGGCAGTTACAACGACCGGCAGTTCATCACGCGAGTTGTGGCGGGCCTCCAACTGGCGCGAAGTCGGGGCAGCCCAGAATGCCTCGAATACCTGGCGAGGGAAAGGTCAAGAGGCCGCGCTCGGCCACCAAATGAAACTACAAATTGTAGGTGACATTTAAAAACGATTCGTGCCACGCTCGCGAGACGCTGACGACGGCGTTGGCACGCCGCCTGCCGATGTGCGTCCACCGTCACTCGGCCCCCCCCCCCGACGGAACGCAGCAGGCTCCGGGTCAACCTGGCAGCCAACTCTCTTCGACAAGCAAAGAACAAAATACGCAGTCGCTGACACAGACTTCTGGCGTGGGGGAGGTGGTGACAAATGATGTTAGCGAGCACCTATTAAGGCCGGCGCGGCGCCCTAGGGGAGTTGGGGGAGGGGGGGGGTGTGATCAGCACCACGCAACGGCTGCTCGTCGTCCTCCGCGGGGTGGCAGAAAACTCGCGAGTTCACGACAAACTCGGGCACGCGGTGCTGTCTCGTGCGGGTGGGTGGGTGGGGGGTGTCGTGGGGAGCGGTGGTGCAGCGGTGAGCGCTACGCTGCGCTACGAACCCGGCGACCCGAGTTCGATTCCCGCTCACGGCCAACACCGGTGGACGATTGTCTGAGCCGGTCCTGGGCCTCCCCTAGGTAGACTCGGCCTCAAATGCGTACCTGGTGCGGTGTGTAAACATCGCCACTGGGGAGACAAAGGCGGTCGGGCGTGGTGCTGGCCACCCACCCCTTCGTGTACCGTGCCGACCTTCATAGATGCTCGCTTACAACACTTGCCCCTACAGTCTAAGGCTACACGGGGGATCTGTTTTTTTAGTGGGGGGGGGGGGGGGGTGCTGGTGGTGGGGGGTGGGACACACAACTTGAGTGAGTTCTGTGGCTCAGGCTAATGCAGTATCTACCACCCCCCCCCCCCCCCCCCATTCATCTCCCTGTCTTCCCCACGCCGGACTCGAGAACAGATGGGGCACCGGCAAGATGTTATCTCCCTCGCCGGCTATGCAGGAGGTCGTGGGTTCGGTCCCCACCCTGACGCCTGCTGCTGTATGTTTGGAGTTTGCGCGTCTCTCTCCGAGTGCTCGCGTGGATTTTTCTCCGGGTCCCCCGGTTTTTCCCTCCACATTTAGAATCAACATCACGCGTTTCGAGTATTTGGCTGCTGTAAAATTCCACATTTTCAGTGTTTTTCAGCTTCGTTTATTAGGTATAGCCCCGTGAGCCATTCGGCTCTTGAATCGGGTGCAACCGCAACAAACAAAAACATGAACAAGAAAACGTCTTAAAGTGACTACGCGCAAACAGAAAAATCCAGGAAAAAAACAGCAATACACTGAAAAACTTAGACCCATAAACTCACACAGACACACTTAGACTCGCACAGAGACCCATAGTCCCACACAGAGACCCATGAACTTACACAGAGACTCATAAACTCACACAGATACCTATGAACACAGATACCCATAAACTCACACAGAGACGCATAGACTCACACACATACCCATGGACCCACACAGAGACCCACAGACTCACACACAGACGCATAAATTCACAGATACATAAACTCACACAGAGATTAACAAACTCACACATGATGATGATGATGACGAGCCACTTGGTTGAGCTATCATTTGTGATCGCCAGGTCGCTTCTGAAAACGAACTGTGCAGGCTCAGTGGGCCTTACCTGTTAAAATAAAAAATAGTTGAGTAATTCAAAGACATCCATCCGTGCAATTGGGAGTCCGTGGGTGTGCAACATTTCCAGAAATGAATACTTGTACACGTGACGCAGCAGGTTGTGAAGAATTGTGGTCTACCGTGGAAAAACAAAACTGTGGAACTGGTGCAAACTCCTGCGATTGTTTTGCTAAATTGGCAGACGCCTGGCCAGGACACGGAACGGTGCGTGCCGGAGAGGAGCCGGGCGCGGGGTCGGCGAGGGCCTACTCGGCAACGGCGTTAGCCCGGTAATCGCACTCGGACCGCGCTAACCCCTGCGCCACCACTCCCCCGCCGGGTGCGCTGCCAGGCTGGTCGCTATCGCTGCACCTGGCCCAGGGGGAACGGCACGCGACGGGAAAGTGCCCAGGCGGGGAGACGCCGTCGGCTTTGCCCGTCGGCCATCGCATCACGTGACCCTCCACGCGAACTCCGCCCGTCATCCTCGCAGCGGCGGCGGCGGCGGCGGCTTTTGGCCGCTCGCCATGGAACAAAGACGGCGGTGGTCACCGCATCGCGTGGCGCTTTCGGATGCGCTTCTGCGGCCCTCTGGAACGCTCTTCCTTCAGGTATTAGAAAAGCACTGGGAGCTATGCCACTTTTAAATCATCTAAATTGAAAACTCATTTGGTTATTTCGGTAAAGTCACGTAGATAGAAAATAAAATTAATTAAATCAGGTGGGAAAACCACAGCAAAAAAAGATATTGCTGTGGTTTTCCCACCTGGCGATGATTGCTTGTGTTGCAATCGAAACGTCGTGATTTAATTTATTTTATTTTATACCTACGTGACTTTACCGAAAGAACCAAAGAGTATGGATCCCTGCAGTCACGAAAACTTCAAATATAAATTGAAAACTCATTTCTTTAGAACTGCTTTTTGTGTTTAGTTTGTTGTCCTTCCCCCGCACCTCCGATTAGCGCGGTCGACTACGTACGGCGCGAAGGAAGTTAAACACACACACACCTATAACGTCACAAGTAACTCGACTCATCAGCTGACTCATCACCCTTACACGTGACCAGGACACGGGTCGCCCGGTGCCGCCGCGACCCGGAGCGACCAGGTGGGGTGGTACGTCATCTCCGCTTCGTCTCCGTCGCTCGGCGGCACCGCTCCCGCTCGCGTCCCTGCCGCCCCGCGGATCTCTCCGCCGGCGGCGGCGCGCGCGGTGGCTTCGCCGGGGGCACCGCCGCCACCCACGGTCGCGACCGTGGCGTCGGCGGCGGCCCCGGGTCGCCGGGCCCGGGACCTGCGAGGGCCGCGTGGAAGGACGGCGTCGCGAGGCAGCGAGCGCACCGCCACGTCTCGCGGTGCCCGGCCCCGCGCCACCGGTGGCGGCGGCGGCAGCAGCAGCGGCCTCCGCTGGGCTGGAGGCACGGACTCGCCAGACCGGCGCGCCACCGGATCCCCGTCGCTCGTGACCTGCGGCGAAGGGTGAAATGAACCGGGAGGCCGATGGTCTCGTGACTGGCCACGCGCGTCAGGGCGGTGGCTAGGAGATGTTAACTACCTCGCCTGGTATACAGGAGGGCATTGGTTCTATCCCGACCCTGACGCCTGCTGTATATTTGGAGTTTGTGTGCCTCTCTCCTTGCGGTGGCGTGAATATTCCTCCGGGTCCTCCCCAGGTCACGTCTGAAAAAAAATAGCTATACACTCCAGTGGGCCTTACCTGGTAAAATAAAATAAATAGTTTAAAGTTTCGTTTTAGTGTGTGTTCAGTGCAGATCCACAAAGCCCGACGGTCAATTCACTGCTGGATGGAGGGTTATTGGATGGTTATTTTGACCATACTTCACCACGCTGGTCATTGCGACTCGGTGAAGGGGAGGGGGTGTGTGTGCGCGCAGAAGAACAATGCGGGGAGCGGCGGTGTTGCGGTCAGCGCACACTGCGCTGCAAACCCACCGACCCGAGTTTGATTCCTGCTCACAGCCACCATCGGTCATGGCCCTCCCCTCGCTCAACTCAGCCTTAAATGAGTAACTGGTGTGGTGGCGAAACATCAGCATCGGGGAGACAATGGGGGCCAGGCGTGGTAATGGCCACCAGTCCCACCCTGTGCCGTTCAGGCATTCATGAGCGCTCGCGAAGAGCACTTGCCCCGACGCCCTGTTAAGGTTACAGGGGGCCTTTGCTCGCAGGATCACGATGGATTGTTCTGGACTGCCCTCTACTCCCCACACCTATTACACACGCCTTTCTCGTACAGCCTGTTAAAGGCTATCCAGGGCATTTTTGTCTTGTGTGCGTAGAGCGCTTGCCAACAGCACCTTCCCCAACAGCCTCGGCAGGCCACTTAGGTGGTCACGCCGGTTCTGCTGCTCTTACCCTCGTTAGAGCCTGGCCTTTCTCCTCCTCATCCCCAACCTCCTCCATCTCCTCGTCCGCGCTGTCTTGGTCATCTTCTCCCGGGATCGTCCCTGAAATGGCTCGCTTCACCGTGGGGGTCAACTCCTGACGACTCCTCAGCCCGGCCTGGGAGCAGCCGGCAGGAAGGAGGAGACCTCTGACTGGTCACCAGCCGGTACACTCAACCACCCAGAAGCAGAAACCATCAGGGTTTACCCAGCGACCACCAGGGTTTACCCAGCGACCATCAGGGTTAACCCAGCCACCATCAGGGTTTACCCAGCGACCACCAGGGTTTACCCAGCGACCATCAGGACCCAGCCACCATCAGGGTTTACCCAGCGACCATCAGGGTTTACCCAGCGACCATCAGGGTTTACCCAGCGACCATCAGCGTTAACCCAGCCACCATCAGCGTTAACCCAGCCACCATCAGGGTTTACCCAGCGACCATCAGGGTTTACCCAACGACCACCAGGACCCAGCGACCACCAGGACCCAGCGACCATCAGGACCCAGCAACCATCAGGGTTTACCCAGCGACCATCAGGGTTTACCCAGCGACCATCAGGGTTTACCCAGCGACCACCAGGGTTTACCCAGCGACCACCAGGGTTTACCCAGCGACCATCAGGGTTTACCCAGCCACCATCAGGGTTTACCCAGCGACCATCAGGGTTTACCCAGCGACCATCAGGGTTTACCCAGCGACCATCAGGGTTTACCCAGCGACCATCAGGGTTTACCCAGCGACCATCAGGGTTTACCCATCGACCATCAGCGTTAACCCAGCGACCATCAGGGTTTACCCAGCGACCACCAGGGTTTACCCAGCGACCACCAGGGTTTACCCAGCGACCATCAGGGTTTACCCAGCGACCATCAGGGTTTACCCAGCGACCATCAGGGTTAACCCAGCGACCATCAGGGTTTACCCAGCGACCATCAGGGTTTACCCAGCGACCACCAGGGTTTACCCAGCGACCACCAGAGTTTACCCAGCGACCATCAGGGTTTACCTAGCGACTATCAGGGTTTACCCAGCGACCATCAGGGTTTACCCAGCGACCACCAGGGTTTACCCAGCGACCACCAGGGTTTACCCAGCGACCATCAGGGTTAACCCAGCCACCATCAGGGTTTACCCAGCGACCATCAGGGTTTACCCAGCGACCACCAGGGTTTACCAGCGACCACCAGGGTTTACCCAGAGACCACCAGGGTTTACCCAGCGACCACCAGGGTTTACCCAGCCACCATCAGGGTTTACCCAGCGACCATCAGGGTTTACCCAGCGACCACCAGGGTTTACCCAGCGACCACCAGGGTTTACCCAGCGACCATCAGGGTTAACCCAGCCACCATCAGGGTTTACCCAGCGACCATCAGGGTTTACCCAGCGACCATCAGGGTTTACCCAGCGACCATCAAGGTTTACTCAGCGACCATCAGGGTTATCCCAGCCACCATCAGGGTTTACCCAGCCACCATCAGGGTTTACCCAGAAACCATCAGGGTTTACCCAGCGACCATCAGGGTTTACCCAGCGACCACCAGGGTTTACCCAGCGACCACCAGGGTTTACCCAGCGACCATCAGGGTTTACCCAGCCACCATCAGGGTTTACCCAGCGACCATCAGAGGGTCCTGCTGCTACATTGGGCTTTTATTTTATGATGTTTTCAGCCAATATACGAGTTGTTTTGTGCGTGTGGGCAAAAAAAAAACCCGAAGCACCCGGAGAAAACCGGCACGTGTGAGGGGGCAACACTCGATCCCCGTACACGATTAGTCCACTGCCTGTAACCGCCGTCTCCTGGCGAACCAGGGCACGCACGGCTCCTCCTCGACGCCCAGGGGAACGGGGGGGGAGCTTCACGACAACATCCGTGTGAGGTGGAGGTGTGGCAGTGGGAGGAGGAAGAGGGAGTAGGGGAGGAGGTGGAGTGGGAGCGTGTTTACGCGCAGCATGACGGCGTTGCTGAAGGTCCCCTGCTCCTTGCGCTGCCTGAACTTTCGGAAGTAGTCCTGGATGAGGAAGGAGGCGTAGAACATGCCCACCGTCACCTCGTCATCTGTCTCGCACGCGCAACGACGCCGTTAATTGAAGACGTGCGTTGCGGGCTCTCGCGACCGGCGTTGTGATTCGTGACACTTTTTTTTGGGGGGGGAGGGGGAGGTCAGACGGTCACCGTGAGTAAAACGCTGTTGTCGTTACACCCTCTTCCACCCGACACGGCCCATCGATAAAGTTGTAACGCGACGATTCATTTATGGCTTGGGCAGCACCAGACGGTATAAGCAATGTGTGGCACACTGCCTGACGATGCTGGTTGTAGCTACGGGCGACACGTCCATCGCGCGGCCACCTCTGAAACCGGACATCTCTGAAGAAAGAAAGAGCCTCAGAGCCCCTCGGATTCCTCCAGCCTCGTTAAAGATTCCGATTCAATGCGTGTGGATCGCTCTCCAGCAACGCCCCGGAGCGGCCCGGGGTAGAGGGTAAAGCGGCGCGCTCTCTCGTTGGTCTGTTCACCACGTGACAACTGCGCCGGGTGGAGGAGGGGTTGCACGACACGCCAACGATTTACTTCGCACGGCGTTCTGACCCAACACGCAAAAAAAAAAACGAATCGATTACGAGCAGTCATTTACAAAATGCTGGCGAGTAAACCGTCAACCTCGTCGTCTGGGTCACGTGGGGACGTCGTCATCGCCGACCCAGCATGTTCGGGCGCGACCTTTGACCGCCATGCGATGGACATTAGCGGCAGAGCGGGAGTGTAAATTTGCGCCCGCGAAACTTCGAGGCGCTGTTTTTGAGTGTCACCATCGTGGGCGGGCATTGGGCGGGCGGCGGAGCGCTGCCCTCTGCAGCGCGAATCAAGAGGCCGCCTGAATGGACCTCGAAGGCAGTTCTGCGATATCCGCTTCTGCGGCGGCCGGTCTCCAGGCACGAGGGGGGGGGGGGGGGGTGGCCCTCAACGGATTATCCCGTCTCGTAACGTGACGCCAATAGCACGGTCGGGATAAAGTTGTCAACAAAAGCATGAAATCGGTCAGTAAGCGCGAGTTTAACCCGTAGTAGTCGGGCTTCCGTGACCAATGTCATTCATAATACAGGTTTTTTCTTTTGGGGGTCAATCTTGTATATATGTAAATGTGTCGTTAAAACCCGCCACCACCCGACACAGCCAACTAAGTAAGGGTTGTCACGTAAACAGAACGTGGCCAATTCGTCACTAGCACAGCACTAGTGTATAGTGTATTGTATAGTGTAGTATACTAGGGCAGCACTAGTGTATAATGTAGTGTATAGTAGTGTAGTGTATAGTGTAGTATATTGTATAGTGTAGTGTATAGTGTAGTGTATAGTAGTGTAGTATATAGTGTAGTATACTTAGTACAGCACACCGGTGTGTTGGAGATCCAAGCCACAACATTTAGAATCTGAGTACGACGTTTCGCCAGTAATTACAATTAGCTGCATGCGGCGACAGCCAGATTTGACAAATTTGAACATGCCAATTCGTTACTGTACTAGTAACGAATTGGCATGTTCTGTATACGTGACACTAAATCTTACAAATTGGCTGTGTCGGGTGGTGGCGGGTTTAACAACATAACATTTATATATTTACGTGATCTAACCCAAAAACCTCGATTGTGAAAGACAAAGATCCCCCCGTGTAGACTGTAGGGGCAAGTGCTGTTCGCAAGCACCTATGAAGGCCGGCACGGCACACGAAGGGGTGGGTGGCCAGTACCACGCCCTTACCGCCTCTGTCTCCCCAGTGGCGATATTTACACACCGCACCAGGTACTAATTTGAGGCTGAGTCGACCTAGGGGAGGCCCAGGACCTGCTCAGATAATCGTCACCGGTGTTGGTGGCCGTGAGCGGGAGATCGAACTCGGGTCGCCGGGTTCGTAGCGCAGCGAGGCGCGAAACGCTACGCTGCGCTACACCGCCGCTCCCCAACACACACGGACTCACAACACACACGCGCTCACAACACACGTCCAGGTCACCCGTGTGCCGTGGTGCCCATCCTGGGTCAGTGGCAATGCCGGTTCTGTGCCCGCAGAGGGCCCAGTTCACAATGATCACAGAAACGAAGGCATTCGAATTAACGGACGCCGCGCCACGCACCGTGACAATCACTCCACGCGGTGGCACGTGGTGCCACGTGGTGTAGCGCGGTGCCACGTGGTGTAGCGCGATGCAACGCGGTGGCGCGGTGCCACGTGATGCCACGTGGTGTAGCGTGGTGCCACGCGGTGGCGCGGTGCCACGTGGTGTAGCGCGGTGGCACCTCGGTGCCACGCGGTGGAACGCTCACCTCCGGCAGGCGGCACGACCTGGTCCAGCAGCGCCACGTTGGTTCTCTTCCAGAGCTTCTTCACGATGGCCCTCATCTCCTCGTTGGCCTGGTCCACGTTGCCTGACGCGGGGGTACGAGAGTGGACGGCGAGGGGAGAGACGACGCAGAGAGGAGACGCAGAGAGCAGACAGGGAGAGATACATTCCTGCAAAGGCTGCGAGATAGAGGGAAACGTTTTCCACGCTCGGACTCTGTCAGCAGCGCTTGCAGCTTCACATCCTCGTTGACCACCCCAACTGCCCACCCCTAAGGGCCACGGGGCCGCTATGCTCTGCACGAGTTCCGGATGGATTCGACGTTTCATAATATAACGCTGGCCTTTAACAAAGAACGGTCAGTGCGGTGTCCCATGACTGACAGTGCGGTGACACACAAAGCTTAAAATCCCTCCGTGTAGCCTCAACAGACTGCTGGGGCAAGTGCTGTTAGCGAGTAGCACCTATGAAGGCCGGAACGGCACACGATGGGATGGGTGGTAAACACCGCGCCAGGCCGCCTTTGTCTTCCTTAGTGGCGATGTTTACACACCGGACCGGGTACTCATTTGACAAAGATGCCCCTGTATAGCCTTTAACAGACTGTCAGGGCAAGTGCTGTTAGCAAGCACCCACCCACACACACACCACACATACACCACACACACACACCACACGCTCCTCTGCCCTCCGTTGTTGCTGGAGGGCGACTGCCTCCAACAGCCCAGTAGCAGCAGCAGCGTCCTTCACGAGCCTCCTCCACAGAGGCCGATCTTGACACCACTGGTACCGGTCATCGGCAAGTCCGCTCAGCTCCACATCATCTTGTACCACATCACTCCATCTTTTCTCTAGCACGTGCCACGTCCGTTTAGCCCCCTCTATCCGGCCAAAGAGAAGCTGTTTAGGCACGCGGTGGCTGAGCATGCGGGCTACATGACCCAGCAACATGACATGACACCAGGGGCGGAGCCAGGATTTTGACTTTGGGGGGGGCTGACTTCAATATTCTGAGATATCCAGTGTAATGTTTTCCAATGGGCGCCACAAATGTATAAATTTTTTTAAAGGATTTGAACGCAGAGTTTATTAATAGGTCGGAGCCGCTGATGTGGCTAGTAAGTTCGATAAGTTCGCAAGGCTGCCGCTCAAGCAGCCTGCAGGGCAGCACAAGGTGGCAGCACAAGGTGGCAGCCTGCAGGGCAGCACGAGGTGGCAGCCTGCAGGGCAGCACATGAGGTGGCAGCCTGCAGGGCAGCACACAAGGTGGCAGCCTGCAGGGCAGCACGAGGTGGCAGCCTGAAGGGCAGCACAAGGTGGCAGCCTGCAGCATTTTGCAGCAGCCGGATATCCGGTTATCCCGATTACCGACTTTCCCAGAATTTCAGGGGGGCTGAGCCCCCCCCCAGCCCCCCCTGTGGCTCCGCCCCTGCATGACACACCACACACAGAGACACACACACACACAGAGACACACACACACTCACCCTCCGTCTTGATTTTTAGCGAGGTCCGAACGAGCGCGAACAGCGTCGCGTTGAACCTGACGGTGCCGTCACCGCCCAGGGGCATGTTCATCATCACGAGCCTCTGACACGCGAGGAGACGCGCACAGGCCCACGCCGATCCAAATCACCACCGCTGATGGTGGTGGTGGTGGTGGTGACGAGATGTTGACTCCCTCGCCTGGTTTAGGCAGGAGGTCGTGCGTGCGATTCCATACCGACCCTGGCGGCTCTATATTTGCGCGTTCTCCCCGTAGTCGCGTGGATTTTTCTCCGGGATCCAGTGGGTTTCACCCTCCGCATTTAGAATCGACGCCGCGCGTTCAGAGTCTTCGGCTGCTTTAAATCTGCACGTGGTGATGAGCCACTTTCGTTGAGCTATCATTTGTGGCCAGGTCGCTTCTGAAAAAAAGAGCTACGTAGCTCAGTGGGCCTGACCTCAGCCTCAGATGAGCACCTGGTGCGGTGTGTAAACACCGCCACTCGGGAGACAAAGGCGGCCGGGCGTGGTGCTGGCCACCCACCCCCTCGTGTGCCGTGCCGGCCTTCATAGGTGCTGATCGCTAACAGCACTGGCCCCTAGAGTCTGTTAAGGCTATACGGGGGATCTTTGTCTTTGTGCACGTGAGCATCTGTGCGTGTGTGTGCGCGTGTGTGTGCACGTGTGTGTGTGTGCACGTCTGTGTGTGTGCACGTGTGTGTGTGTGTGCACGTGTGTGTGTGTGAGCATGAACGGCCCTCACCTTGCAGGCAACACGTTGGGGACAGAGTTTCCCGAATCCCAGCGGGGGTTGGATGTGACGCAGCAGCATCACCAGGTCCACGTGCTTGATGCGACCCCTGCGGTGGAGTCGTTCGGCAAGAATAGCAGGCCAGTGTGTGGGGTGTGTGTGCGCGCACACCGGAGTCGCGGTCCAAATTTGCCAAAATTCTAATTTGTACATTACCTGAATGTAATGACAGTAGTCAACCTGCTGTGCGAATGGACTAGTGGCCACGGGAGGTAATGACAAGCCGAGTCAGCCTGCTGTGTGAATGGACTAGTGGCCACGGTAGGTAATGACAAGGGAGTCAGCCTGCAGTGCGAAGGGACTGGTTGCCACGGGAACGATCGAGAATAGGAGCGTGGCCAGGTGACGGAAGAGGACGGTGGAGTCTGCTGGTGGGGCGAGCGTCTAGAGTCAGCGAGAAGGTTCGGGAATGGGGGCATGGCCTCGGACCGTATATAAGGGAGATGCGCGGGAGACCCGGGGCTGTTGCAGTGGGTGTTCGCCTGTTCGAGTGAAAGTGTCTCTACAATAAATAAACCATCCCAAGGCAAGTGTGTCAAGTCGTCATTACATGAACATTACTCAATTAGCATCACGCACATTAGCAGCAGCACTCATTGGTCTGCCCCTGCTGGCAGACTCAATGCCCCAGGCCACTGTTGCAAATGAGACTCACCCTGGTCCCTCGCCTAGTTAGCTGCTCACACAAAAAAACAACCAGGACTTACACTCACTCGCTCGCTCAATCGTTTACCAACTCACCCTCCAACTCACCCACCCATTCATTCACTCACTCACTCACTCATCCACTCATTTATCCCCTCATTTATTCATTCACTTACTTGCGCATTTGCCAATCAACTCACTCACCATTGCAAATGAGACTCGGTGCTGGTCGCACCTTAAACTCACTCGCTCACCCAACATCTCAACCACCCACCCTTTCACTCACTGACTCGCTCACCCACCATCTCGCCCACCAACTCACTTACTAACACATCCACTCACCCACTCACTTACCCACTCACTCACTCACTCACCCACACACTCACTCACTCACCCACACACACACTCACTCACTCACCCACTCACTCACTCACTCACCCACTCACTCACTCACCCACTCACTCACTCACCCACATACACACTCACTCACCCACACACACACTCACTCACCCTTTCACTCACTGACTCGCTCACCCACCATCTCGCCCACCAACTCACTCACTAACACACCCACTCACCCACTCACTCCCACAGCATCTCACCCACCTTCTCACTCACCCAGAATCTCACCCACTCACTCACCGACTCACTCACTCACTCACCCTCTCACTCACCCACTCACTCACCCACTCACCCTCTCACTCACCCACTCACTCACCCACCCACCCACTCACTCACCCATCCACCCACTCACTCACGCACTCACTCACCCACTCACTCACTCACCCACTCACCCACTCACTCACCCACCCACTCACTCACCCACTCACCCACTCACTCACCCACTCACTCACTCACTCACCCACACACTCACTCACTCACCCTCTCACTCACTCACTCACCCACTCACTCTTGCAATTGAGATTCGGTTCTGGTCTGGAGTTGTCACCTGGTTACACAAAATCGACTTGACAGACACCCTCGAGACTCATCTCAAGTGTTTTAGATTTTAAGCCTTCGTGACTGCAAGGATCCATACTCTTTGGTTCTATTCGGTAAAGTCACGTAAAATTATAAAACAACAAAAAAAATAGAACCAAAGAGTATCATCTCAAGTGTCCGGTGGAAATACTTAAGAGGTGGTGACGTCAGAGCTGAGGGTGAGGGAGCACCAGGTGAGCGTGGAGGTGAGAAAGAGGTGTGAGTGTGTGAGAGAGGGGGAGAGCGTCATACACAGTGGGTGTGTGAGTGAGTGAGGGCGAGTTTTGTGGGTGGGCAAGTGCTTGAGGAGAGTTTGCGAGGAGTTGAATCAATGGGCTATAGTGATTGAGTGAATGGTTTTAAGTGAGTGAAGGCGTGAGTGGTATTGAGTGAGCGACTGAGTGAATGAATGAGCGAGTGAATTAATGAACACGGAGGTCAGTGTGTGTGAGCGTGCGCGTCGGTACGAATGAGAGCATGAGGGGGCGAGCGAGTGGTTTAGGAATGGTCTAGCGGGTAGTTAGTTGAGGGAGATGTTTAGTGATCGAGCCGGTAAAGTGAGTGGTTGCGCGTGTGTACGTTTAACTTCTTGTGCACCGTACGAATCCAACCGTGCTAATCAGAGGTGCGGGATTCGCCGTGATTCACTCGTGAATCACCCGTGATTCACCCGTGAGTCACCCGTAATTCATCCGTGATTCACCTGTAATTCACCTGTGATTCATTCGTGCTTCACCCGTGTTTCACCCGTGAATCAGCCGTGATTCACCCATGATTCACCTGTGATTCATTCGTGATTTACTCGTGATACACTCATGATACAATCATGATCCACTCATTATTTACTCATGATGGACTCATGATTCACTCGTGATCCATTCATGATCCACTCATTTTTACTCATGATCCACTCATGATCCACTCATGATCCACTCATGATTTCACTCATGATTCCCTCATGATCCACTCATTTTTACTCATGATCCACTCATGATCCACTCATGATCCACTCACGTGGCCTCGGGGTCGTACTCGGCCCAGCACCGCTTGAACTCGTCCAGGTGGTGAGGCCCCAGGATGGACCAGTCCCTCGTCAGATAGTCAAAGTTGTCCATGATCACCGCCACGAACAGGTTGATGATCTGGCGGCGACGGGACGCACAAAACCCATTTCCCATCACCGGAGCGGCGTTGACTTTCCTCCGTCGGACCGATCCGGCCCGGGTGTTCCTCAGCGGTTAAACACGTGGGCTTTCTCGTGACCAAGCTTATCCATAACAGAGGTGTTTGTTTTTTTTGTGAGCGAGTGAACGGATGAACAAGGCAGTCGCTTGTGCGGTGACTCTGTCCTGCCTGCCTCTCTCGCCTCTCCCCCCCCCCCCCCCGCTCAAAACCTGGCCACCCGTTCTGCAAGTGAACACACGGTCCCCCCACGCAGTGGTGAAGACCTGCCTCTGGGAACCATCGCAGTGCGCCATGGTTCCCAGAGGCAGACTCTGCAGCGGCGAGCAATTGGTGACTTTGCCGCGCCCCTTTCTATTGCTGCGTACGATGGCAGCACGATGCGCCCGGAGCTCAACGCCAATGTCGAGGTCTGCCGCCGCCGCTGCTGTCGGCCGTGACGAGAGGGCTTAGGTGGAGGGGAAACGGGGTGGTGGGAGCCACCGGCGAAAAATAATCTTGGGGGCTGCCGAATATCTTGGGGGACTTAATGCCAACTGAGAGAGCGTAAAGAAGCAATGCAGCGTACACGTTGGAGGGAGTTAAATGGTTTGATTAACAGAAATATATCTTACTTTCTTTTTTACTCTGATGAAAACATTGCGATTAGCTCAACGGACCGGCCCACCGGCCCTCGGAATGGACCGGCCCACCGGACTGCTGGGCACGTCCGTCTGGCACCGTGGCGTTCTCGCTCGTGGCGACCTCTCGCGGGACTCTCTTGTCTTTGTCCATTCGTTCCTATCCCCCCCCCGCCGCCCCACCATCCCAAAAAGTGATATCAACCTTCTCCGAAATTCGTCCTTTCACCTTCGCCAAAAGCACGGCTCCCTTACCTTGGCATGTCTGAGTCGACGACTTTGAAACTATTTCTGCACCCGGCACATCACATCCAGTAGGGCACCGCGGTGGCTGGGAGATGTTAACTCCCTCGCCTGGTATGCAGGAGGCCGTGAGTTCAATCCTGACCCTGATGACGCCTGCTGTATATTTGGAGTTTGCGTGTCTGTCTCTCTCCCCGTGGTCGCGCGTATTTTTCTAGGATCAACGTTAGCACGCGTTTTAGAGTACTTGGCTGCTACACATGTCCACGTGGGTAAGCCACACCGTTGAGTTACCATTTGTGACAGCCAGGTCGCTTCTGAAAAAGAGCTACGTAGCTCAGTGGGCCTTACCTGGTAAAATAAAAACAGCAGAAGTTTAGTCGTATACCGCTCGCAGTGGCTGTGGCTCAGAGTCACGTGACACCTAATCCGGCAATACTCTCAGCGTGTTCAGTGACGCATTCAATGTGCATATTCCACCCGCCGCCTACAGCCTGAGCTTTGCCCTTCTCTTCCCCTCCCGCCCGCGCGCTCCTCACCAGGAAAGCGCAGAGCATGAAGAAGCTGACGAAGTAGAGGACGGAGAAGGAGGAGCCGCAGGAGTAGGCTTCGTGGCGTGGGAGGCCGAGCCCCGGGTGGCAGCGCTGGCCGGGCATGCAGGCGAGCATGATCTCCTGCCACGCCTCGCCCGTGGCACACCTGCTCCAGTGACACAATCACGGTCGGTCGGACGGTCAATTTAACCCAGTGGGTTCTTCTTCTGAAACCTGGGGTTTGGTGATAGGCATGTGTGAGTCTTTGGGTCTATGCGTTAGTCTATGGGTCTATGCGTGAGTCTATGGGTCTATGCGTGAGCCTATCAGTCTACGCGTGATTCTATGGGCATATGCGTGAGTATATGGGTCGATGCTTCAGTCTATGGGTCTATGCGTGAGTCTATGGGCCTATGCGTGATTCTATCGGTCTATGCGTGAGTCTATGGGTCTATGCGTGATTCTATGGGCATATGCGTGAGTCTATGGGTCTATGCGTGAGTCCATGGGTCTAAGCGTGAGTCTATGGGCCTATGCGTGAGTCTATGGGTCTATGCGTGAGTCTATGGGTCTATGCGTGAGTCCACGGGTCTATGCGTGAGTCTATCGGTCTATGCATGAGTCTATGGGTCTATGCGTGATTATATGGGCCTATGCGTGAGTCTATCGGTCTATGCGTGAGTCTATGGGTCTATGCGTGATTCTATGGGCCTATGCGTGAGTCTATGGGTCTATGCGTCAGTCTATGGGTCTATGCGTGAGTCTATGGGCTTATGCGTGCGTCTGTGGGTCTCTGTGCGAGCCTGTGGGTCTCTGAGTAATGAGTCTGTGTGTCTCTGTGTGATGAGTCGCGTGGGTCTGTGTGGTGAGTCTACGATTCTCTGTGTAAGTCTGGAGGGTGCTCTGTGTGATGAGTCTATGGGTCACCACTGTGTGTTGAGTCTATGGGTCTATGTGAGTCTATGGTTCTCTGTATGAGTCTATGGGTATGTGTGAGTCTCTGGATTCTTTGTGTGATGGGTGCGAGGTGTCGTTTCTGGGGGTGCGAGGAATGGCCAGATCTTTTTAGGAGGTAAAATCATAGAAAACACAAATTAAGCACAGGCACGTCAGTTACAAATTACTTATTAACATTATTACATTTTTTTTCTTACGATTGAGAACCAAAGGGTTCTGCAGGCTGCAGTAAAAGTTAGGAACCACTGCTCTAACTAAAAGTAGAGTATAACACGATTTTGTTGTTGTTTACTTGACCGGGTAAGGTCCCCACTGAACTACCACGCAGCTCTCTTTCAGAAGCGACCGGGCGAGCACAAATGACAGCTCAACGAAGTGGCTCATCATCATCGTCGACGTGTGGGAATTTTACAGCGGCCAAATAGTCTAAACGCGTGGTGACGTTGATTCTGAATGTGGAGAGGGAAAAAACCGGAGGACCCCGGAGAAAAGAAAAAAAACACGCGACCACCGCGTGGAGAAAGACAAACTCCAAATATACAGCACGTGTCATGGTCGGGATCGAACCCACGACTTCCTGTACACCAGGCGAGGTAGTTAACATCTCCTAGCCACCGTAATGATGATGAGAGAGACAGAGAACAAGCAAACTCCAAATACACAGCAGGTGTCATGGTCGGGATCGAACCCACGACCTCCTGTATACCAGGCGAGGTAGTTAACATTTCCTAGCCACCGTGATGATGATGAGAGAGACACGCAAACTCCAAATATACAGCAGCAGGTGTCAGGGTCGGGATCGAATCCACGATCTCTTGTACACCAGGCGAGGTAGTTAACATCCCCTAGCCACCGTGTCTCCTGATCAGTCGGTCAGTCAGTCAGACAGTCGGTCTGTTGGTTCGCTTGGACAGCTGATGGTCCATTGCGTTGGTCCGCGATTGCGTCTGCGCATGGCCTGGCTCTCATTGACAGCGGCAGGGCGCTGACGCGCGAGGGTTCGGCAGGGCGCGGAGGCATCGCCGATGCCGCTGTACGCTGCCGCATTGCCGGCGAGGCTCAACGAGGACGCTCGGCGGGCCTCGGCGACCCTCCCCGCCCTCAAGACGAATCGGCTCGTCTTAAAACATCGAAGAAAAACACCTCGAGCGGCATCGCGAGCCAGGGCGGGTCGGTGGCGACGGAGCCGCAACAGCGTCGCGGAGGCCACTGAGGGACGGAAAAGTTTGGCAGTCGGGAGTCACCTGAAGAGGAGGAGGATGGACTGCAGGAACGTCTGGAAGTGGTTGTTCCTGTTGATGTGCGTTCCGTCTTGCAGCGCGATCCTGCCGAAGAGCTGTCCACAGACACGGCGGGAACGCGGGGGGGGGGGGGAGGTTGCCGTGGCGACGCTCGACCGGGAGCTTCGATGGGAAGTGCGGCTGGGGCGATCAAGTCGATCAAGTCGATCGGTTGGCAAATGAGGTCGCAATCCACACATTTATATTTTTTGTCGTCAATAATTTAAAAGCGGAGCGCCGCCTTCCCACATTCGCGCCTTGCGAAGGTGGGAAACCCCCGTACGGCCCACCGCGGCCGGGCTGATGGTTCTGATGATGTGACCAAGCCCCGCCTCTTAACCTCCCGTCCACTGGCACACGCGGGAACGGAGGCGGAACTTTATTCCCGGACTAGTTTTTCGCGCGATCCGATTCGTTGAAGGATGGAAACGATAATCTGTCGAGTAACAGATCCCTTAATTAATCGGACAGTCGGTTAACTGTACAGCTTTAATAGTCGAACAGCTGACGAATCGGACAATTGATTAATCGTTTAGCCGTAATCAAGGCCTCGTGCGTAGAGCCATGCGGGACCAACTCGCCTGCATGCCGATGACGGCGTAAATGAAGAAGAGCATCGCGATGAGGAGTGAGACGTAAGGAAGCGCCTGTGGGGACAAGGAGACACAGCGGCATTCTGGCAGGAGCAACGAGAACAACAACGGTCGCCATTTGCCACAAAATGGCGGTGATGTTCCTCCGCGTGCTGCCGTTTCCTCCCACGTGGGAACACTCATTAATGGGCTGATACCACCTCAGTATACAGAGGAGTGCGGAGCTTGGGGAATCAATGGCTCCGGCTCACCGTCTTGCTACTGCCTTCCCCTCCTTTTATCCTTGCAGCAGCGGCGAATTCTGGCTATCGCCATTGAAGAAAGACGGTCACTTGCATCGCGCGCTTTCAGATGCGCTTCTGCGGCCGTCTGGTACGCTCTTCCTTCCCGATATTAGGAAGCCACTGGAGCTACGCATTTTTTTAGATTGAAAAGTAATTTCTTTAGAGCTGCTTTTTGGTGTTTCATTTGTTGTCCTTCCCCTGCACCTCCGTTTAGTGCGGTTGGCTACGTATGGTGCAAAGAAGTTCAACATACGTACATGGAAATAGGAAATGATAACGGAGGTCATGATGATTATTAAGGTGATGGTAAATGTGGAGGTTGAAGTCTATGATGATGATTATTCCGGTGATGCTGCACATGGTGATGACGCAGGTTATGATGGTCCAGGAAATAATGACTGAATTGGTGATAATTTTAATGATAATGTATGTTGTGGTGGTGGTAATGATGATGACGATGGTGGTGCAGCTTATGATGATGACTTGGATTTATGACGATGTACATGATGACAATCCTCAGTTATCATGAGCCGTCCTCTCTCTCTCTCTTCGAGAGCGAGAGGCGGTGGCGGCAGTGTAACGAGTGGAAATGTGACCATTAACCCCTCCCCCTCCTGCCACCACCCGCGTCGGCCGGCCCATCGCCGCACCTGGAACGACTTGAGGAAGGTCCAGAGCAGCGTGCGGATTCCCTCCCCGCGGCTCAGCAGCTTGACGAGGCGCAGCACCCGGAAGAGGCGGAAGAACGTGATGGAGAAGCGGTGGCGCTCCTCCTCCACCCCGGCGTGGGGGTCGCGCTGGCGGGAGCAGCGCATCGCGGCGTCACCGCGACGTCACCACGGCGACACCGACGGCGTCACGGCGACGTCGCGGCGACGTAACGACGACATTGCGGCGACGTCACGATGACGTAACAAGACGTCACCACGGCGTCACCGACGGCGTCGCGGCGACGTCGCGGCGACGTCGCGGCAACGTCACGGTGACGTCACGACGACGTAACAAGACGTCACCACGGCGTCACCGACGGCGTCGCGGCGACATCGCGGCGACGTCGCGGCGACGTCACGGTGACGTCACGACGACGTAACAAGACGTCACCACGGCGTCACCGACGGCGTCGCGGCGACGTCACGATGACGTAACAAGACGTCACCGAGGCGTCACGATGACGTAACAATGACATCACAGCGGTTGGGGGCGACGGGTCAGCAAGCGATGGGGAAGGTGACGGGTAGAAATTAAGATGTGTCCTTGAAATAATGAGGGTGGATATACAGCACTGTACCGTGTCCTGCGTGTAACACGGTGGGAGGGCGGGGGTTTGGGAATGGGGAGCACCGAAGAGAAAAATGTAAGAATTAAAATTCACGATCCCGAAGCTCAAAAAGTGGTTGCCGACCCCTGGGCTAGTTTAATAAAGTTTAATCCATTTAGCGATTGGTGAAATGAGGCGGACCGTAACTATGCGAAGGTGTGCGTGTTTAGGAATCAAGCTGACATTTCAACCTAACAGAAACCAATCATGAATCACTATATTGGTGTTCACCAAGCCCACGCTTTTATCAACAACACATCAAGTTAGCGCCATGTTTTGCTGTGCCCACTGACACGGAAAACGTCACGATGTTTGATTCGCCAACATAAATGGCATTTATTGACGCACAAATCAAACATCTGCCATTGAAGAAAAACAGTAAAACACACACCACCACCACACTCTTTTTGGGGGTTGTAAAACAAATTACAACTTGCAAACAATGCTGGATCAGCGCAAGAGCACGTTTGGTTAAGTCCCTAGACGTGCAGGAAGCGTTCTGCAACCGATGTCAGTTCCATTTCTCGCCAACGCAGCCCCAGCTGAGTTCTTGTGCAGTAACCACGTGTTCCTATGATAATAATTACGGATCGTACAGCAGCAACCTTTCATAGAAATCTCAAGCGTGAAGAAGCGATTTGGCTCAACAAGGAAACTCCTTCCGAACGGGGGGGCGGAAGTACTTGAAGGTTCCATACCGGCGAACCGGACTGTCTGGACAGCCGTTGGCAGCGAGTTCCACAGTCGCAGGAGCCAGGCGAGCGAAGGGCCCCGATCGCAAAAGGCCTCACACCGAGGACGGACACCCGCTCGTAAACAAAGACGGACGATTTACGCCCCGCTAAGCGTCATCCGCGTCGGGTATTTTCAATTTATCCACGAAACGCACCCTGGTGTCTCTCCTGTTGATGTTGTTGTTGTTCAGATTTCGTCAAAAGATGGGAGAAGTAACACGTGTTCAATTGTGGGTATGCCCTTGCACAGATGCACATTGGAAAGGCGGTGAGCCTTTTATTAGTTTTTAGTGATTTTTAGCTTGTGCAGTCATCAGTGAGCAGGCTGAAACCCATAAACTCACGGCACTTATGAACGCGGTTTATTCAATCTCAGTCGACGTGAGTTTATGGGCCTCTGTGTAAGTCACCGGTGACCGGACTGACAAACACGCTTAGGAACCCGGTTTAATAACAATCAAGTCTATGCGAGTGCCTTCGGGTCTCTATGCGAGCTCATGGGTTTCTATTTGGGCCTATGGGCCTCTGTGAACGTCGAGGGGTCTCTCTCTACGAGTCATCCGCGACGAGAGCCGGGACCATCGACTAAAACCGCACTTGGGAACCCGGCTTAAATCGTGGTGCTGGCGGAAACGTGGATCTGAAAACCCAGGATCTCAGCAGCGGCCGGCTCAGCATTCACGAAACTCTTTGCCGAAAGGATCCCTAAAAAAAAATTGTAAAGTTTCTTTCACCTTAACCAAACGAGGCGCGATCCTTTGCGAGTGCGAGCGTGCATTGTTCGTGAGTGGGGGGAGGGGGCGGTGCGGGGGGACGGGAGGGAGGGGGGGGCCACATGTCAAAGCAACCTCACCCCCCCCTCCCCCAAAAACCCTGGACAAGAAATGAAAGCACACGGGGCCTGCTGACCCGAGCTGCCCACATAGCTCCTGGCCAGCACCCAACAGGGGCACCACGTGGAGGAAGCCCTGATCAGAGGTTTCCCTTCTCCCGTCGACGCCGCCCAGGCGACACGGCGGCCTGCTTCGGCGTCGCATTTTTTGTGGTGGCGGCAAACGCGACCGCGCAGTTGACGCGGCACGCACGGTCGTTCACGGTGTCGCGCGGTTATTAAAGGTTGGGGGGCGACGCCGGGGCCGGCGGCGGAGGTAAATACGCCGCCCCACCGCGATTGGCTTGCTCACGGCGCCACCGATGCGCTTGGGAGAGGGCCTCCGCCAGAGGGGTAGCCACAGACAGCCGCTCTCAAAAATCGGTAGGCTTGATTTATCCTGGAGAAATCCGATGAGCTACGAAGCTCTTTCCCCCCCCCCCCGCCACGGACGTCCAGTAGGGGGCACGGGGTCAGAGAGAGCGAGCCGCCACCCACCGCTACGAGAGCTGCCGTGGGAAGTGACCGCAACCTGCGCATCTGTCACAGAGGGCGCCCATCGCTCAGCGGGGAGCGAGAGCTCATCGCCCTCCAAGATTCTTCATTGGTTTTTGTTCAACCATACATGAAATCAAGGGTATTTTATTTTTCCGGCGAAGGCCTACGGAAGCGACCTGGCTATCGCAAAATGATAGCCCAACGAGGCGGCTTATCATCGTCACGTGGACATTCATAGCGGCCAAATGCTCTGAACGCGCGACGTCGATTTAAAAATGTGCAGGGGACAAAACCGGAGGACCCGGAGAGAAAAATCCGCGAAAGCCACGGGGAGAGAGATCTGGAAGCGCGCCGCTCTCGAGGATAACTTGGCCTACTCTTCCACGCTGGCCAGATGCCTTGGAAGAGGGCGGGAGTCGCCCGCACTGTACCCAACCGCACGCGACCGGCCATTCGACCTGCGTGTGTACTGCGCACATCCTGGTATCGCCGTGCCGCGGCAGACCGGGGTTTTGCCACGATACGGCGACGGGGGCCAGGAGAAGCGGGCGGAGGTGCGAGAACGGCTTAGCCGGGAAGACCTCTGATCTGGCACCGTGCAGCCCATGGGAGTTCTTACCAGAAGCGCACCAGCGGTGGTGGAGGGGAACTTGCAGCAAAGCAACAACAGCTGTTAGAAAACAGAGCCAAGCAGCGGTTAGCGCGACCCACGAAAACACCTTAACCACCTGACCGACCCATGACTTCCAGAGCTCTTGCGTACTACCCAGGCCAGTGCCAGCAATGACGCAGTACGCTTTAGGGGTTCGCCTACCTCCGAGATACATTAAAACCCGGGGCGTACATGATCATGATCGCGCGAAGTAGAATATCTCGCAACACCGGCAGAGAATTGGACCAACGCATAAATGCGTTGCCCGGAGTAGTTTATTGTCGGAAAAAACAAAAACCCCCGGGAATTTTTAAAAAATTTTTTATTACCATCCACGGGAAGCAGACGTCCCGGGATGGCGGCTGCCTCAACGAGAGACGATGACCCTGGGCAAGTGCCCGCGAGTTGCCCGCCAACTGCACCAATTCGGGTCGCGTTTTGCTTTGCTCGAAAATGCAGACGCGCGAATTTTCTACTCGGAAGGGCGGCGGGGGGCGGCGGGGGGCAGCGGGGGGCGGCAGGGGGCGGCGGGGGGTGGCGGGGGGCGGCGGGGGGCGGCGGGGGGCGGTGGGGGGCGGCGGGGGGCGTAGTTTTGCCCCGCGGTGGCGCCGTGCGGCTCTCCGACGTGTTTCCCGGCCGGCCTGTGCCGCTCGGCCGTCGGGGCATGGTGGATGTCCCGACGATCGGTCCGGCCGCCCCCCCCCCCCCCCCACGTGCCGGGGGAACTTCCCTCGGGAACTCCGCGGCGTTTGCTCCTTCGGTTTTGGAGGAGCGGCGGAGCCAATTGTGGGGGTGCCGGGGTGACGCGGCAAGGAAACCCGTCGGAGGTGGGGGGGGGTCACCCTGGGGGATCACCCTGCGGGGTCACCGCGGCGAGGTCACGGCGGCGGGGTCAGCGTCGCGCGCGTTGGCGCCCGCGGTGCAAGCGCAAAAACAAACAAACGGACCGCGGCGGAATCACCGACGGCGGTGCGGATATTTTGTCCGATCAAAAAACAAAGAGAGAGGTGCGGGCATGTCACACGACGCTCTAGCAACCCAATGGGATCATGCTCGATGCGTGGATCGATTGCGGCAGTGAAGCGACACGGCGAATAACCCGAAAAATTACGGTCGACGCCGAGCTGGCTGCCCGATCGACTGGGCGGCGAATCGATACGATCAAGAAAGCCTACTGTCTTCCATATATTGATCGGCGATTTCTTCGGGAATCCGATTTCACCGTAACAGCGGCGCCCGTGCCCCCTCACCTCCTGCTCGTTGACGACGACGTCGATGACGCTGCCCACGACGATGAGGAAGTCGAACGTGTTCCACTGGTCGCTGAAGTAGCCCTACGCAGGGGGAGCGAAGGAAGAGGAGGGGGGAGGAGGGGGGAGGGGAGGAGGGAGCATAGGGGTGGAAGGCCGTCATTAATAAAGAAGTTAAACATTTGTATAAAGGGTGGACTGGCGCAGGTCAATGGAAGGGACGGTGGACGAGGGCGGGACACGTCCGTGAGTGTCTCATCATCATCACGGTGGCTAGGAGATGTTAACTACCTCGCCGGGTATGCAGGAGGTCATGGATTCGATCCCGACCTTGACGACGCCTGCTGTATATTTGGAGTTTGCGAGTCTCGAGTCTCTCTTTCTCTCTCATCATCATCACGGTGGCTAGGAGATGTTGACTACCTCGCCTGGTATGCAGGAGGTCGTGGGTTCGATCCCGACCTTGACGACACCTGCTGTATAGTTGGAGTTTGCGTGTCTCTCTTTCTCTCTCATCATCATCACGGTGGCTAGGAGATGTTAACTACCTTGCCTGGTATACAGGAGGTCGTGGGTTCAATCCCGACCCTGACGACTGCTGTAAAGTTGGAGTTTGCGTGTCTCTATCTCTCATCACGGTGGCTAGGAGATGTTAACTACCTTGCCTGGTATACAGGAGGTCGTGGGTTCAATCCCGACCCTGACGACTGCTGTAAAGTTGGAGTTTGCGTGTCTCTCTCCCCCTTACTGCTCTTTGGCTGCCCCCTTGTGGGCAGCCGTTTAAAAAAACCCGTAAATCTTAAACGTAATTTAACGTAAAAATATTTGATTAAATATGGCAAGGAATGGAGTCACTATGGAATGTTTTGGCGGAAGACAATTTACAACAGCGAAACTACATTGTTAAAGAATAACTGAGGTGTGGGGGTGGGGGGGAACTAAATAGATACAGTTTATTCCATAACCTATCTTGTTTATTTACGTCAGAATTTGTTTGTGTACGAGTAGCTCTGCGTGTGATATGAGCCTCTCGAACTATTTCGGCCACAAAGTTTGTTTTTTAAACAACGGTTTTATTAACAACTTCGTTTAACTCACGGTCTTTGAGAAGTAAGCCTGAGACACGCTGAGTTTTGTGCGCGCCAATTCCACAGTTTAGGGACCACGGCGTTTTTGCCCTACAACAAAATATATATATAAAAATAATAACAAGGCGTCCATACAAAATGTAAATTGCTTTAAAACAGCGAATTAATTGATGCCAATTTTGATACAGGCATGCATTGTCACCGGATCTGAGTACGTGTGCAAAATGTCGAATGAATTGGACAACTGGAAGTGGACGCAAATTTGATATCAAGATTTGAAACCGTCGACAAAATGGCTCTTCTACCTTTTGAAAGGTTTGCCAAGCCCTGCCCTTGGGGCACACCGTGGGGCTAGCGCCGCGCCGCGTGACTAGCCGCACGCCGTGGGTATTGAGGCCCGACCTGCGCTATCACCACTCACGCCTCGGGGTAGGGCCGGGCCGCTCAAGACGTTGGCCGCAGCGACTGCAGCGCGGGGCGACCGCTCCTAAAGTGATCGCCCGCAAGCGCCACCGGCGGTGGGCGGGTGGCGGCTCAGCCACAAGTGGACCGGACTGGGGGAGGTGGGGGAGGGGCGGTGGTGGGGGAGCTGCGTTCCGCCGAGACCGACTCCACGGGCCGGCGGGTCCGTGCCGGTCGCGCACCCTCAGCTGGAAGGCGATGAGCTTGAGCAGCATCTCGAGAGCGAACAGCACGGTGAAGATCACGTTGCAAATGTCCATGAAGCGGCTGAATCCCTTGCTCTGTCCGTGGTGCTGCGCGACAACAACAACAACAAGACAACAACAAGAATAATGACTCCGGTACGACGGCGCGGCCAGACCCGGCCACCGCGGGGAGCGAGCAAGAGGCGGGCACGCGAGAAGGTCGCACGTGTCGATGTCACGTGATAGTAATTTGTGACGCGTCGCCGGTGCGCGCATGCTCTTCGCTCGCTCTCTAAGGGAGCGCGAACGATTCAAGAGGCACGAGGGACGACAAACGAGCGGCAGAGCTGCCCACCACCCCCCACGCCCCACGCTCGCCCGTGACTCGACGCCCGCTGGGCCACGCACCTGCGAGGCGAGGCACAGCGTGTTGAGGAGGATGAGGACGAACATGAGGTACTCGAAGGGCGTGGAGGTGACGACGCTCCACACCCACCGCTGCCTGGCTCCTGCGGGCATCTGCCTCTTGAGCGGGCGGGCCTTCAGCGCGTACTCCACGCACTTGCGCTGGCCGCGGCCGGTCGGTCGGGCGGGCGGGCGGGCGATGGCGGAGTCGGCGGGAGAGGCGGAGGGACAGGGCGATGTGCGCGGGAGAGGTTCACATTCAGGGTGAGGTGGCCGAGCGGCCCAGGAGGTCAACAGACAACGAGCCGGACCGGCTCCGATTCCGGGTTTCAGCCGCCTGCGATAATTGTGGATGATGTTACGTGTGTACTGTTGAACTCCTTTCGCGCCGCACGTAGCCGACCGTGCTAATCGGAGGTGCGGGGGGGGAGGACAACAGGCTAAAGAGAAAAACAACCCGGATTTTAAGACTCGCGAGTCGATGGACCCTGCCCTGGTCACCACCGGTTTACACAGAGATACATAACCTCACAGAGCGACCCATAGATTTACATAGAGACCCATAGATTTACACAGAGATCCATAGATTTACACAGAGACCCATAGATTTACACAGAGACCCATAACTTCACAGAGAGACCCATAGATTTACACAGAGACCCATAGATTTACACAGAGACCCATAAATTTACACAGAGACCCATATATTTACACAGAGACCCATAGATTTACACAGAGACCCATAGATTTACACAGGGACCCATAACCTCACAGAGAAACCCATAGATTTACACATAGACCCATAGATTTACACAGAGACCCATAGATTTACACAGAGACCTATAGATTTATACAGAGACCCATAGATTTACACAGAGACCCATAGATTTACACAGAGACCCATAGATTTACACAGAGACCTATAGATTTACACAGAGACCCATAGATTTACACAGAGACCCATAACCTCACAGAGAGACCCAGAGAGGCACAATGATAGCCATACACTCGAATAGACCGAGCTGCCACTGAACTGGGTTTTTGCGAGTGGTGAGGTTGATGGACTCCGCCCTGGTCACGTAGATTTCGGGGTCTGCTGCACTTAATTTGGATACAGTCCAGCTCTGAGTATTCAAATATCGGTTCCAATGTCACACAACAGGGGTGGTGGGGGAGGTAAAGACCTTCATCCAGCAGTGGATAGATCACGGCGTAGGAGAAGCGTGCGCACGTCACCTCACCTGGTTCTTGTCCAGCTCGCAGTTCTCGAATTCCTGCTCGCCCTGCGCCTGGAACGTGATGATGACGAAGCCCACGAAGATGTTCATCATGAAGAAGGCGATGATGATGATGTAGACGATGAAGAAGATGGACACGGCCAGGCGGTGGTTGTGGGCCGGGCCCAAGTCCTCTCCCCGAGAGTCGATGGCCTTGTACAGCAGCCTGTGGGGAAAGACGGGAAGGTCAGCGTTGTCCTCCGTCGGTAGCGCCATCGCCGCCGCTGCCGCCAGCGGCAGTCGTCGCTGTCGCCTGTGTCGTGATTGTCGGAGGCATCGCCAGGATCACCGTCATCACCGTTATCAGCAGCGTCGACATCGCTATCACTATCATCAGCAGCAGCAGCATCAGCAGCCGGATCACCAACGTCATCGTCAGCACGATCACCAGTATCTTCAGAATCGCCATCGTCATGAACACGCGCATTATTATCGCCAGCAGTTGCAGCGTCATTATCACTCTCATCAGCATCACGACCACTGGAAGTTCAAACTCACGGCGCACTATAGAAGTGACACTCACTCTGGACAGTGAGACTCACCGGCGGTACGTGGCACGCTGATCGCTATGGGCAGTGCCACTCACCCGTGCCAGCCCTCGAAGGTGGACACGCTGAAGAGGCGTGAGCGCTGACACTCACCCGGGCCAGCCCTCGAAGGTGGACACGCTGAAGAGGCGTGAGCGCTGACACTCACCCGGGCCAGCCCTCGAAGGTGGACACGGTGAAGAGGGTGAGCATGCCCGAGAGGACGTCGTCGAAGTTGTACTCGCTGTTCTGCCACTCGCGCCTCACGGCCACGGGAGGCGCGTGCTCCCGCACGACGACGAAGTAGCCCCTGTGTGGAGGACGACGCGATGCTCACAGAACAACAACAATGTGCCGCTCGCCGACCAAAGGTCCAAACACGGCCCAGCTCGCTATGAGACCTCCTTTGCCAGTAGCAAGATATAGTAATAGGCTTTTACCCTTTTATCTGGCACAAAAACTGACACCTTTATACAAGGGAATCATGTTTGCAATGACCACAACACAAGCAGTCAAAATGCAAACACAAAGAGACAACTCTGATAATGATATGCACTGTCCTTGAAATTGATTGGTCCACACCCGAGACGGCTTTTCTTAGAGCGTAGTCTCCACTGGTGTTGGACGCCTTTTGGCGTACACCTTTTGGCGTCTTCTGGTCCAACACCATGTGAGACTAGGCTCTAAGAAAAGCCGTCTCGGGTGTGGACCAATCAATTTCAAGGACAGTGCATATCATTATCAGAGCTGTCTCTTTTTGTTTGCATTTTGACTGCTTGTGTTGTGGTTATTGCAAACATGATCCCTTGTATAAAGGTGTCAGTTTTGGTGCCAGATAAAAGGGTAAAAACCTATTACTACGGCCCAGCTCATCTGAAACCTTTCCCGTTCCGATGACGTACGTGTACCGATGACGTACGTGTACTGATGACGTACGTGTACCGATGACGTACGTGTACCGATGATGTACGTGTACCGATGACGTACGTGTACCAATGGCATATGTGTACGTCATCAGAACGGGACCGAAAAAAACTAAAAGTAAAATAACTTTACCACGGCACCGAGACTTCCACAAGGCCATGCGGGGAGGGCGTGCGGCAGTTTTGGCGCCGGTTATCGTAGAGTGGCGGCGGCCGTGTCGCTACGGTTCTGTGCGGTAACAATGTCTTTAAAAAACAGCGGCGCTGCCAGTACGCCCCCCTAAATAAACATCTACGCTGAGCCGCTTACGCGTTCCGAGATGCGGCGGTGAACGGGGAACCCCCCCCCCCACCCCACCCTGCGACTTGCAGACGTCTCGGAACGGGGGAGGGGTTAACGAGACCGTAACGAAGGAGCTCGTTAGCGGGGACGACAACCATTCGGTCAGCTTCGTGGATGTGACTGGGGTTTTTTCACTCTCGCTCTCTCTCGTGCAGTCATTGGTGACTGGGTTGAGACCATCAACCCCGCTACGCTTGGGAACCCGGTTTAACCAACGCTCAGTCTACGTCTATGGGTCTCTATACTACTATACTAGTCTATGGGTCTCTATGTGAGTCTACTGGTCTCTACGTGAGTCTATGGGTCTCTATGTGAGTCTATGGGTCTCTATGTGAGTCTATGCGTCTCTATGGGAGTCTATGGGTATCTATGTGAGTCTATGGGTCTCTATGTGAGTCTATGGGTCTCTATGTGAGTCTATGGGTCTCTATGCGAGTCTATGGGTCTCTATGGGAGTTTATGGGTCTCTATGTGAGTCTATGAGTCTCTATGGGAGTCTATGGGTCTCTATGTGGGTCTATGGGTCTCTATGTGAGTCTATGGGTCTCTATGTGAGTCTATGGGTCTCTATGGGAGTCTATGGGTCTGTATGTGAGTCTATGGGTCTCTATGTGAGTCTATGGGGCTCTATGTGAGTCTATGGGTCTCTATGTGAGTCTATGGGTCTCTATGCGAGTCTATGGGTCTCTATGCGAGTCTATGGGTCTCTATGCGAGTCTATGCCTTACAGGGGTCTAATAGCGGTGGCGGCTTTTGTGTGTCTGACAGCAATTCTGTGCCCCCAGTTCACCCCCAGTCCAACAGCCAAGTTTAAGGGGCCGTCCATAAATGACGTCACGCATCTAGCGGGGGGGGGGGGTCAGACACTTGTGACGATGTGTGACGAGGGGGGGGGGGTTTGAGAAATGTGACGTCACACCAAAATGCGCAACTTTAAATAAATATAGAGAACACGTTCTACTTAATTAAATAGACTTTTTAAATAAATGTTTTCTCCTACATCAGGGTGCAGCGCCACATTAAATACGCACTACAATGACAATAGTTTAAAGCGATTGAAGCATTTTTTTATTTTTTTTTGGGGGGGGGGGGGGCAGAGCTTTGTAACGTCATATTTGAGGGGGGGGGGTCTAACTTTTTGTGACGCCATGTGACGAGGGAGGAGGGGGTCAAAAATCGTCCAAAATCTCGTGACGTCATTTATGGACGGCCCCTAATCTCTGACACTGTGTAGCTCTTTTTAAGAAGCGCCCTGTCCATCACTAAACGATAGCGCAACGAAGTGGCTCAGCATCATCGTCGTCGTCATCGTGTGCAATTTTATAGCAGCAGCCGAAAACTCTAAACGCGTGACGCCGATTATAAATGTGGAGGGAAAAACGCGATCACGGGGAGAGAGAGAGACACGCAAACTCCAAATATACAGCAGCAGGCATCAGGGTCGGGGTCGAACCCACGACCTCCTGTATACCAGGCGAGGTAGTTAACATCTCCGAGCCACCGTGTTGATGACAAACAAATTCTGACGGTTATTCTTGTACATTGTCTTCCCCAAAACATTCCTTAGTGACTCCATTCCTTGCCGTATTTAATTAAATATTTTTCCCTTCAATTACGTTTAAGATTTACGGGTTTTTTTTAAAACGGCTGCCCACAAGGGGACAGCCAAAGAGCAGCAAGGGGGAGAGAGACACGCAAACTCCAAATATACAGCAGGTATCAGGGTCGGGATTGAACCCACGACCTCCTGTATACCAGGCGAGGGAGTTAACATCTCCTAGCCACCGTGATGATGATGAGAGAGAGGGAGAGACACGCAAACTCCAAATATACAGCAGTCGTCAGGGTCGGGATTGAACCCACGACCTCCTGTACACCAGGCGAGGTAGTTAACATCTCCTAGCCACCGTGATGATGATGATGATGAGAGAGAGAGACACGCAAACTCCAAATATACAGCAGCAGGCGTCAGGGTCGGGATAGAACCCACGACCTCCTGTACACCAGGCGAGGTAGTTAACATCTCCTAGCCACCGTGATGATGATGAGAGAGAGACACGCAAACTCCAAATATACAGCAGCAGGCGTCAGGGTCGGGGTCGAACCCACGACCTCCTGTATACCAGGCGAGGTAGTTAACATCTCAC